GATCACAAGGCCGCACCACCAACTCAAGTTCTGGTGGATATCCTCTGACAGTCTGGCTCCAGACCGTGTGCTGGGTCAAAACAGAATTAAACAGGCAGGTGGTGGCCACGGGGCAGAAGGAAGGTGACCCTGGCATTCATATGCATGTATCAAGAGAAAATTGCAGGCAGAGACCTGTCTCACCGCAGCGCTGCCCACAGGTCCATGCCCTGCTCCAGGCACCAGGGACAGAGGACAGACTCACTCACAATCCAATTTGTTGTACTTCCACCTTCCAGGGAGGGCGGGTTACGAAGTAAAAAAAGAAGAAATCCCATTATCTTTATCTGTCCTTCCCATCGTTCAGCAGAAAATGCAAACGGGGAAGAGACAGCTGCCATGAACTCTTTATATTTCACCCAGAAGAGGGTGTAACTTTTATTGCATACAGGGATTTCTTATTTGAAAAAAAAATCTATGTTTCAGAATGACCTCAGTGGTAAGACAGAGGTGGGTTGTTAGATATCCAGGGCTATTGACAGAGCGTTGGCTTAAATCAGAGGAATGGCTGGAGGTCACAGGCAGTAGCAGAGAGAGAAGAAAGGCCTGTGGAGGAGACCAGGGAAGAAAATGGGTCTTCTCTCCACCTCCCCGTTGTGAGACATAGACCTAGCACTGTGCCTCTCCGAGCCGCTGACTCCCTACTTGTGCTAGGAAGCCGAAGGTTAACATTTTTATTCCCTCTGGCGGGTAGAAGGAGGCGTCAAGAAGCATTCCTTAGAGAGAAAAATGCCCTCTCTGCCCCTGCTGCTATGCTCGGCCGGCCGAAGTGAGCTTCTCCTAGTGGCCACCACTCCTGGCAGCCAGCTTACAACAGGTATGCCCTGAAGATGGGCGATGCAAGCAGGTCCCTGTCCAGGTTCTCCAGGTAGCCACGGCTGTGCACTGATGGGGCCAGCTCATACATGCAGAGTGAAGTGCTTGGAGAACCCCGCACTCTAAAGCCTCTCTCTGTGACTATCTTTCCTTCCATATATCCAACAGTCTGTAGGTCAGGCAGACCCTGTGTCCTTCGCTTTGGGTCCTGTGATAGTGATGGTGAAATTTATGTGACAACTTGGCAGGGCCCTAGTACCAAGACACTTGGCAAAACATTATTTGGCCTATTTGTGTGAGGTATGGGCATGCATATAAGATTAACATTTAAAACCAGGGACGTGGGGTAAAGCAATTACTCTCCAGAATGTGGGTGGGCTTCATCCAATCAGTTGAAGGCCCACAGAGAGCAAAGAGCTGGCCATCCATGAGCCAGAGGGAATTCTGTAGGCAGTGGCCCTAAGCTACTCCCTGGGCCTCTAGCCTTCCAGTGCACCCTGCAGTTTGGACTTGCCAGCCTCCAAAATCATATGGTCAATTCTGTACAAGATGCCCCCCCCCCCAGAGAGAGAGAGAGAGAGAGAGAGAGAGAGAGAGGCCCTTCAACTTACCCTGAGTCACGCCCAGATAAGCCCATCCTAAACAGACCATATACGTAAAAATGCATCCTGGCTTACCCCAGCTTAAACACACTAGAGCACTTACAAACCCTACAGTTTGTTGGATCAAGTCATCTGACCACAGCGTGCTTTATCTAATGTGATGAAGATCTCCTGGACAAGGTAGAACACACCACTGGCAGTGAGCAATAGAACACTGAATGGGTATGCATCATACCACTGTGCAAGTGGGGTATTGGCTCTGTTTCCCACGGATCCCTGCCAATCACAACTGCCCACATTACTTTAACATCTGGGACTGGACAAAGCTCATGGAGAGATGAAGGGAATGCTGGGAAAGCTCCAATCCAAGCAGCCAGGAGTAGATGTGCCGGGATGGCAGCTGCAGGTTGGACCATTGGGAAGATGAAAATACAACTCATGCCAGGCAGGAGTGGGCTGGGGATGGATTTCTTTAGGATGATAATAGAAGTGTTAGAGGGACTTCTTCCTTCCATCAAGTCTGGGACAGGGGCTGGTCATCTGGGGAGAGGAGGAAGCTTGTGCCACACACCCACCAGTGTGGAAGCAAGAGGCTCAAGGAAATGGAGTGGAGGGTGCTCCACTATCTTGGCTCTGTCCAGGGATGACAGGGCCTCAGTCAGTCTGTGTACCAGGTGGCCGGGTAGCCCTTGGCATAGATCGATTTGTGGTAACAATGACATTGTTTTTGATACCTTGATTTAAGCTTTCAAAGCACTTTTATCTCCATGGACAAGTCACCTCACCGCCCTCTCCCCACATGGCCAGGCACAGAAATGACTTTTGGGTATCTAAGGAGGCTTCAATTTCCATGCTTTGCAACCTAGTTTTGGTCTGAAGAAAATCAGAGTTTGGGGGCGCTGCTCCAAACTCCTGCTTTAATTAAAAAAAAAAAAAAAAGGAACAGCTGGGCTAAGCAGGGAGGCCCTTGGGGAAACACAGCAGGACACCATCTCTCATGGGACATATCTTAGGTTCACACTAGTGTGACTGAGTCCTGAGTTTACGCTAGCTTATGGATCCCTGCTATAACTATCCTGCTAAGGGTAGTGTGATTCCTCTTAGGGCAACCTCAAGAGCATGGAAGTGGGAGGGGGAGCCTGCTCTATCACCTGGGTTTGAGTTACTACAGCATGTATTGAGTACTACAGTACTGGAGACCCACTTGCTTAGAGTAAGGCAAGCTACCACAGTGAGTACTGTAGTACTGGAGACCCTTTCACTTGGAGGGAGGTGGCCTTTGCAGGGCCTCTGCAGCCTATTGGTCAAGGGGACAACCACCCTCTGGTAGGCCCTGGGATTTAGCATCCCTCAGACTTCCTTCTCTCATAAAGGATGGAAGGAAATGATTTCTTTGGATGCTGGAGCCTCCATTCAAGATGACTTCTAACTGTGGCTGTGAGACACACTATGAGAGGCACGTTACACTTCTTCACTGAAGACATACTTGATAGGTTTGCATCCTCTGATCTCTGAGGGGAGCAATTCTCTACAACTAGCCAGCAGTTTCTTCCTCTCCCACATTCAGGGTGGGAGGTCTCCAGGAAGAGATTGGTCATACAGAGCAGTCACTAGCCCCAACACAATCTCTCTAGGACAGCCAGCATGCATAGGAGGTACACATTTGCTCTGCTTGGAGTTTGATGTAAAATGTTGGTCCCACCCTTCCTGAACTCCATCAGGGCTGAAGCTCACACAGCCACCCACTGGCTTTTAATATAGCAAAGAGCTATCCCCCAGTAGCAACTGAGCCCTACTTGTTCACGTGGAGTAGGACACTGCTTGGCTCCTTATGCAGCCACCCTGTTCTCAAGCACAGGACACATGCTCAGTGGTTCCTTTGCCTTCCAGCACCCATGCTCTCTACCAGCTCTTCCCAGGCCCTCACTCACTTCACAGATACTGATGCTGAGGATCTGAGGGGTGGCCCCACCCTGGGCTCATAGATAAAACAACAATACAAATATGGGTGCTACCTGGTTATCCCACTCAAGCCATTAGAGAGTACTCTGGAATGGTTTGAGAGAGATTGGCACCACAGCCCTCCATCCTGGAACCATGGTTCCCCACTGGTTCTACAGCAGGGGCCCTTGCTCCATTAATCTATGGGGCCCCTCATGGCAGCAGACATGGGTTAAATGCATACTGACATACAAGTCCACCCACTTCAAAGGACTGGTGCCCTGGGATACATCCATGGATACACACCCCCAACTCCCCTGGTGAATAGACTCCTCCATGCCCCAAGAACAAGACACCTAAAGACACCTCCCAAGAAGAAGGGCACAGGGTCCTGCACACATCTAGTCTTAAGCCCAGTGAGAGAGGACAGGGTTAAGAGGGGGATATGAGACATTCAAGGAGATAACAGAATATTCTGATGCTTGGGATCTTTAGGCATCAGAATCTGGGGGGAGGTGGCAGTTGGGGTAGGAGGCTGAAAAATCACCCTGGATTTGAGCAAAATCATAGATGCCCATCTGTCTCATTCGGCTTAGCGGAAGCCAGCTTAGAGGCCAGATGGGTGCTCAGGGCTTCTGGGGGCTCTTCCCACCCCACCATGTTGCCAGGACTTCACACTATCCTCACAACCCTCCAGGATCCACAAACAGTCACAGCCAGCATCCCTAAGCAGCGTCTTCCCCTCCATGGTGGAGACGCCCCACATAAAGACTTTCAGTGCATCACCCCACTGAACTCTTCCTATGAAGTAGTTGCTGTAATGATCTCTACCTCATAGGAAGAATGCACAGATAGTTTAAGTACTTTGGACAAGGTCCTATAGCAAGGACCTAGCGACATCAGGCCTTGCATCCAGGCGCCACAACAATGCTCAAATTGCCCCTTTCCATCCTGGTCTCTTCAGCGCCTCCTGCAGAAGGCATCCCCAGTATGACATTCTGCAGAGCACTCAGGCAAAGTACAAATGGCCCTGGGTGGAATGCCCTTGTTTATACAGGCTCTGCCATCTCTTCATGGAACACTCAGATACCGTGTCATCCTGCTCCACAGCAGGCCATCACATCTCATTTTCCTCTATTCTCTCTCCATCCTTCATGGCTGACCCGGATCCCTCGAGCTGTGAGTATTCAGCAAAAATTATAGGCACAGCACAGAGGGGAGGGAGAGCCTGGAGGGAACAAAGGCAGGGTTGAGACCTTGGCCACAGGGACTTGGAAGAGCAGGCTTTGCATTTACATCCCTCATTTAGATATGACACCTGCAATCCCAGCCCTCAGCCACTCGAAGGACCACAGAGGCATTCCCTGCCAGGAAGGTTGGCCAACAGAGTACCTAGTGACCTTTGCCCCCTCTTCTGTTTGAGGCCCATGGACCTTCTCCCACCAATCCCAAGCAGACTACAAAGGCAAACTCAGCCTGCATCCCTCCACACACTGCTTCTTCTCTGTTCCCTGAAGCTCAGCTCCACTTACTGCTGACCCGAGCAGGCGCAAAGTGACCAAGACTAGCCACAGGGTTAGCCCTGGGAAGCAGCCCTCTTACCCAGGTCCATGTCTGCAGCCTTGGGCCGGTGGGAGCATGGCACATTCTTGAAGATGGCGTCCAGGATCTTCTCCTTGACCTGGGTGATGGTGTCACAGTTGAGAATCTTCACTGGGACCTCTGGGCTGTTGGCATTATCTGGACTGGCACAGCTCAGGACCTGAGGGGAGCAGGGAGAGGTCACATGGATGAGGACAGTGCGAGAGACTCTCAGATCTCAGCAGCACTCTGGGATCCTTCATGAATGACTCCTCCCCATAGTGGACTATGGAGGGGTCAGAGCAACTCCATCCTGTCCAGAGAGGCAGGATGACCCCATGTCTTCAACATCACTGCAGGAGTATAAGCTGTATCCTCAAACTGCTATCAGGACAGATGCTCTGATTTCCTAAAGGGAACAGTGTTCTGTGAAGAAAGTGATGGCAGAGAGAGAGAGTCTATAACAGAAGAGATACAGAAGTATGCACGCATGTGTAGTCCCTCGCTTGTACACCTGTGTGCGAGGGGACACCCCATTAGCATATCTAGACCATTACTCCAAACCCCACTTCATGTATCACTCTTTTTGTTATTCCTCTAATACACAATCGCAACTCCCTCTCTCCCTCTCCACCCCCCCCCCCCACACGTATGCACTCAAACATACCCTCACACACATGCTCAGTACTAATGAGAAACTGGGCTCCTGTTTTAAAAGATTTAATAGCTTTGGTTTGGGGAAGCCTTTCAGGCTGATTGGGGGCTGCTGGATCTATTAGAAACTTAATGTATTCTTTAAGTATAAAAAGGTGCCCTTTAAAAACTACAGCTTCAGGCCCCCCCAAGAGGCCTCCCTGGCTGTGAACCTGCAGTCCTGGTCAAGTGATGAGGCTGCTGCTCATGCACGGCCTCTAGTTCTTATTTCAGAGAGAGGTGGGAAAATTAAAACTGCTTCTCCAGCTGTTTGCTTCCTTTAAGAAGTTCAAAGCGTTCCACTGGCCATCCTCATAGTGGGTTCTTTCTGTATCACTGATACTTTGGGGCTCCCTGGGTGGATCTCAGGGGAACAGGAAGGGGGTTATGGGAGTATAGGAATGATCAGGGGTTTACAAGAGCCAGGCAGAGAGGCCCGGGTACTGGGGGACTTGAGGCCAGATGTCCCTGGAGCCTGAGCGCTCTGTGTCCCTCTCCTCAGAACTTCAACACCCCATGCCCCTCCCAGTAACCATTTCCCAATAGCCCCATCTGGCTTGCAGAACCAGACTCCAGCCCTCCTCCTGCTCCATGTGGTGGTAATCAGAACCCTAGCCCTGGATTCCTGCCTCTCATTAGCAGCTAGACTGCTATGAGCACAAATGGGGAACATGCTTATTCCATTAAGAAGAAGGGGGGTGGGGAACCCTAAATCTATAAAAATCATACTCTCACCTTCAAAATGTCCTGAACTGAAAATATGGGAGGCCAGGCCTCTGAGCTAAATGTCTATGAGGGCCTTCTCCCAGCCACCCCCTCCCTCCTGCTCTGGCCACCATGCTGGCCTGTTGCCAGGCCAGAGATGGGCAGTTCATTCTCCTCTTGGCAGCAATATAGCCTTGTCCGAACTCTTTCCCCAGAAGGACCATGAAGCAGAGACTTCAGGGTGATCTCTCACAGCGTGCTCCAGGGCAAGCACCCATCTTCCAGAGTGGAAGCAGTAGCCCACAAAGGAAAGGGCCCCAGGCTCAGAAAAATGTCTTCTACCCCTGGCTCTTAACTGCTTTAGAATCATCCACCTGGCGCCATCTCTACCAGTTCCCAGAGAGGCTCTAGCCATCTGGTGGACTCCCAGAGAACATTAAGCATTCTATCAGGTTCCTGAGAAGGAATGCAGCCTTCAAATAGGCTCCTAGTGGGGGGACTCCTAGACAGCTAGTTGGCTCCCAGGGGACACACATCTAACATTTTGGCAGGTAACCCGGTATGAATCTTATACCCCAGCAAGTTCCCGGATATCTAGCACTCAGGCAGGTAACCTGGCAGGCACATAGTCTTCTAGTAAGCTCCCTGGCAGGTAACCAGGGGAGTGTCTAGCACTCCAGCAGGCTCCCTGATATTGCAATGTAAATCCTGGAGCACTTCCATGACTGTGCCAACTCAACCTCCATCAGGACAAGGTCACTATCAGCAAATCAGAGCTCCCGGGGCTCCTCTGGTCATTGCATGTCCCCCACACTTCCCACCTTTATAGTTGAGCTGCTCAGCAGGAGTCTCTGCTGCTCTGTCTGTCCTGGTGCAATACCATCTTCCTGCATCACCCCTGGATGGAGTGTCCCCATCACATGGAGGAACACCCTTCCCCGCAGCCCTGCCATCTCCAAGCAAAATCACTGCCCAATTCTCTTCCGTCCTTTCCAGCCTGTCTTCAGATCTTTCCAACTTAATGATTTCTTCCCATTCTCTGTAAGTCTGTCACCTGACTCCAACCGGGCACAATCTTTCAGCCCGTGGAAATAAAGGCTGCTGCAATTTGGGGACAGAGCATGATTGTGATCACAGTTCACCGTGTTGCAGGGGGATGAAGGAGGGTGGGACAGGAGACATTTAAAGGTATTCCTCTCTCATTAAGAAATCCATTCAAGCCTCTATTTTTGGAAGGGTGTGTTCCCTCTTCTTCATTTTAATTGCAGTCTGTGACTTTCTTCTGTGAGCCGGGAAATGAGAAGGAGCAGAAGCCTCACTCACAGGCTGTGTCTTTGGGTTCTCAGGAAGTCAATCTATTGGGATTCCTGGGGCCCTTTGAAAGACGGCAATAGGAGAACCAGAGTGGCCTTCCAGAAAGCAGAAATCACTTTGTTCTGAGGGGCCTGGCCATAGGATCTGAACCTGCCTATGCAAGCATCTGTCCCTACCTGCATGACCTCCACCCTCAACCCTACTGGGCCCTGACTACTCAATTCAGCACTTATCTGGAACCACTCTGAAGAGTGACTGAGATACAGCTGAGTCTCTGGGTACCCTGGTGCATGGGCCACAGGGAGCAGAGACGGGCACATAGGGGAGCACCTGCCTGGGCCCTACAGCAGACCAAGTTGGAAGGGTGATCTGCTCAGTATTTTCAGCATCCCTTCTTCAGGACAGGGCTGCCCAAGTGCCGAAGCTGACCTACCAGAGCTGAGGGGAGCAGTGAGAGGGCTCACCAGGGTCTTGTATTCGATCTGCTGCCGAATGAGCTTGTCCTCACTCAGGGAGTAGCGGGCCTCTCCTGTGATGGCGTCTATAGGGCCCTTCTCCATCTGCTGCTTGATGGCACAGAACAGGGAGAACAGGGGCTCCCCGGCACACTCCTGCGTGAGAGAAGGATCCTCCTATGAGGGTTCAGAGATCCGGGGAATGCAGGCCCACCCCACTGTCCTTGCTTTCCTGGTCCCGCTTGCTTCTTCGCTCCCTTTTCCCATTTCCTCTTCTGTACTCTTCAGATTTGCAGGGGTCCCCACCCTGTGGACCCAGGTGATTCTGTTCCTTCCTGCCACCTGTCTGGAACCTGCCCTTCCTTCCTTCCTTCCTTCCTTTCTTCCTTCCTTCCTTCCTTCCTTCCTTCCTTCCGTCCTCCCTTCCTTCCTTCCTTCCTTCCGTCCTTCCTTTCTCCTATCCTCTCTGCTCCTTCTCCCACCCCACCCCACCCTGCTTTCTCTGTGAACCAATCAGGTTGGTCCTCTGAAGTTCATAACTAGAAGGCCAGCAGCTCGTCTCTTCTGCCTCCCCAGCACGTCCTCAGTTTATCTGCAGCATCATGCCTTGTGTGCCTGCCCTGGAACCCTTAATCAGTACCATAAGTCTGGTATTGGGGGGAAAAGAGGAGCTTGGGAGGGGGGAGAAAACTGGGGACTCACAGGTGACTTGTCTTTAGCCAAGAATGGGAATTTAGCTTTAGGACCACACGGAACCCTCTCAGTGGTACATTGGCCCCTCATGGGAGGAACTAGCCGGGGGTCTCTCTTCAATTCAGTTTCCTGATAATAAAGAGCTACATTTCTTGTGGGGTGGGTGCATCGGGGTCCATAAGAATGGATATAGGAACAGTGGTCTATATCCACTAGGAGAGGAAGAACCCTAATAGGCCTGGAAATGTGTCCTCATCCCATCCTACCTTGAGGAACTTGTAGAGGAGGAAGGTAAACCAATTGGTCAGCATCTTCTCAGCCACTGACTCAGTCCTGGCATCAGTCACCAAAGGAATCAGGGAAAGAAGACAAAAAGGAGTTGGTCAAAGGCTGTGACTGGGTAGAGTGAGGAAGAACCTGCCACCATCTTGCCGATTACAGTGTCTGGTGACCTAATAATGTACAGGAGAGTCTTATGGCCTGCCAATCCTCTGGGGCTGAGAACAGAGCTATTTCTGAAAATCTGGAGCTTGGCTTCTGGGCATGCATATGCTGCGTGCTGGTTCTTCCTTGTCTACAGAGGTGCTATCCCATACCACTTCACAGCGATGGCAATGATCTTCACCTGAGCTATCCAGTTGCTGCTGGTTACATGTGGCTACTGAACACTTGAAATGTGGCCAGTGTGTCTGAGGAGCTGAAGTCTGTACACTTTATCGACTGCAATTAGGTGTAAGTCATTATGTGTGGCTGAAGATTTCCTGTTGGATAGGACAACCTTAAAGGAACTTGGGGAGGGACTGATGCATTCCTATTGATAAAGAAAGAAAATCAAAACAAAAGGCAGGGGGATACTAACTGGGCAGGGCATGGGAAAGAAGATGGCATAGGAAGGCAATCACGGTAGAGAGACAAGGTATTCAATATGGAACCTGTTGCTTTATCTCGACTCACAGCCTTGGCAGCTACACAGAGAGGGATCTATAGCTCATCACAGATATGTTAGCATTGTCATATCTCAAAGGCTGCTGCATACATCTATGGAAAGCTTCTGCCATGGCAGGGAATACTTTTTTTGAGTATAACCCCCATCTTTTATGTCATGAATCAAGCCTACTTACTCTTTTCTTTTGTAAAAGAAAATGCCACTGGGCAGTGGTGGCACACGCCTTTAATCCCAGCACTTGGGAGGCAGAGGCAGGCGGATCTCTAAGTTCCAGGCCAGCCTGGTCTACAATGTGACTTCCAGGTCAGGCAGGACTCATCAGAGAAACCTTGCCTCGGAAAACCAAAAGAGAAAAGAAGAAAGGAAGAAGCTGCTGTGGCAGCGTCACTGGCTTGAGCTGCACACATTCAGGGATTGAAACTCGCACTAAGAGTAGTTTGCCAGCACCAGAGACAAACTAGTCCGTCTAGACAGGTTTGGTGAATTGAAATACACAGTTGCTAGAAAATACTGATAACTGAAACCTCCAGGTGTTTAGACAGCTTCTGGTATGCAGTGAAGCCAGGGAACAGAAAGAAGGAAGACTATCAGAGGCTGGGGGCGGGGGATAGGGGCTGGGGGGTGCAGGGTAGGGGCTGGGGGTGGGCAGGGTAGGGGCTGGAGAGCCAGAAAGAACAGAGGGAAGTGGGGGAGGAAAGTGCAGGAGCATCTGGGGAGCACAAGTAGAAAACAAGGAGAGGAGACAGAGACCCAGAGTGAGACCATGAGACCATGCCAGGAAATTGTCAGTGGGAGTGCTGGCAGGCGGCGGCAACCCTAGAATTATGCCAGTGGGTGGCTACAAGGCGAAAGTAAAACAAAAATCAAAATTATCTACCTTGTCGTTAGCAGAGCTGTGGGATTCTCCTTGGCACTGTAGCCTTTTGCAGCTGTGCAGGCAAATGTGTACCCCCCCCCCCCAAAAAAAAAAAGCCTAAAGCGAGCTATTTGGAAAGCTAAGTCTATCTATCTGCCAGACAGGGTAAGCACCACTGAGGCCTGGAGTCTGACCGAGAGACCACAGGGCAAAGGGTCGGGAAGACAGGATGGAGTGGTCTGGGCAGAGAGCTGGATGTAGTGATTTCCATGGTGTTTTCTAACTGCAGCTGTACCATGGCTGGGCATTGGAATAACAGCTGAGAAGAGAAATGGGCACCCTTCAGATGGATGCCCATACAGAATGGGAGTCCTGTGTTTTCTAACCAAGCCAAAATCACAGGGTAGGAATGGCTGACACTTGTCTAGGCTGGTGGGTTTGAGAAACATGTGGCAGGAAGAGTGTGTTATGGTTCAAATGAGATATTTTCCACAGGTTCATGTGTTTGAACACTGGGTCCCCAGCTGGTGGTGACACTGTTTTTTTTTTTGTTTGTTTGTTTTGTTTTTTTGGAGGGGTCATGGAACCTATAAGAGGTGGGACCTTGCTGGTAGAAGGCCACTGGCCACATAGCCACCATTACCTTGATCCTCACCATGATGCACTGAATCTTCCCAAACCATGACCCCAAATAAACCATTTCTGTTTGAATTTGCTTGATCAGGTGTTTGGTCACAGTGATGAGAGACCTAACAGCATCTAACTTTGTCCAGCAGGGTCAGGACCTGCTGTCCATCAGGGAAACTGGAGCCTATGGCCGGGCTGCACTGAGTCAGTTGTCCCCAAAGACTTTCACTTCCTGTTTCTCAAACTGTAACACACATTCAAGTTATTTGGTTCCCTGTTAAACTGTAGATTCTTATCAGGTCTGGGAGGGCCCTGAGTGGCTTTATTTCTATAGTCTTGTATGTTGCTCTTGTTGCTGGCCCATGGACAGCCTGAGGTCTTTTTCTACTTCTAGTCCTGGCCGAAATGAGGCCAGGTCATGGCCTAACTGACCTCTGACACAGAACTATAGGAGAAAATGACATAATTCAGGGAGCAGAAAGGCAGGGGTATAATGGAAAGCAGATATATGGTGAGCTGGGCTGTAGGCATGCAGGTAATGGGTGGGCCTGGCCTCCCACGGGTCAGTGTTTCATCCTGAGGAGGCATAGCTGATCCCTCTGCAGCCTGCCTGGTGTGCATGAAGGGCTCCAGGAGCCATACACAAGGGTTGGGCTGGGGTAAGGGTACGCTGGCCCCTGCTGGCCATTGTAGGCCTCTCTTACCTCCTGAGCAGTAACTTGGGGTGGTTCTTGCTCTCCAGGTTCTTATCAATGAGGTCAGCCAGTAGCTGCTTCAGCACATCAGTGGCATACTCTAGCTTGCTCTGAAGTACCGTCATGATGAGAGAGGCCACGTTACCTCGGTCACGCATGGAGAAGCTGCGTTGAGACTCAAGAGTGCGGATGAAAGATAGCAGGAACACCTTATTGTTGATGAGCTGTGCGAAGAGCTTCAGGCCTTTCTCCACGCGCTCCTGCCGGTAGCCTGGGACCTGGGGGGAGGTTTGGGGTCCTAACATGAGCTCCTGGGTGCCCCATTTACTGCTTCACAGAATAGGCTCCAACTCCCTCTATTCTAGGCACAGTTGATCCGGCTAACACTGCCACGTCCTTCTCGGGTGTCAGGTGTGGGACCTAGTATCTTTTCGACCTCCATCACAGCCCACAAAGTAGAGAAGTGGCTACAGTTTTGAGACATAGCCGCTAATACCAGGAGAGTTAGCCACAGTTCCCAAGACGTAGCAATGAGATTTGAACCTACCTGTGCTAGACTCTAGAACCTCAGCTCTTCCCTGATGGTGATACAGAGCCAATGAAGGGCCTATGCCCTAGACTACCTCCTAACTCTCTGGAGCTCTAAAAGACCAGAACTGCTGTGGTTTGTGTCCTGCCTGAGGGATTACCAGGCCTGGGCTCCCAGCTAACCTAACATCCACCTGCTGGGGATGTCTTTCTGTATGCTGTGAATGTATTGCTCTGACTGATTGATTGATTGATAAATAAAATGCTGATTGGCCAGTAGCCAGGCAGGAAGTATAGTATAGGCAGGAGAAGCAGAGAGGAGAATTCTGGGAAGTGGAAGGCTGAGTCAGGAGACGCTGCCAGTCACCGCTGCCACCATGAGAAGTAAGATGTAAAGTACCAGTAAGCCACAAGCCACATGGCAACTTATAGATTAATAGAAATGGGTTAATTTAAGATATAAGAACTAGATAGGAAGAAGTCTGCCATGGCCATACAGTTTATAAGTAATATAAGTCTCTGTGTGTTTACTTGTGTCTGAGCGGCTGCAGGAGCCAGGTGAGCTGGAGAAAACTCCAGCTACACCCACCCCTTCCTTCTCCATCCCCAAAGGTCCTGTGGTCAAACAATCAAGATGACTGGATTCCCCCTGGACTCTGCTACCACCACACTTTGTGTGTTAGTTAAGGTTTCAGTTGCTGTGAAGAGACACCATGACTATGGCAATTCTCACAAAGGAAAACACTTAAGTAGGTGGCATACAGTTTCAGAGGTTTAGGCCATGATCATCATGGCAGGACATGGTGGCATACAGGCAGGCATGGTGCTGGAGAAGGAGCTGAGAATGGAGAAGGAGCTACATCTTGATCCCGCAGGCAATAGGAAGTGGTCTGAGTGTCACACTGAGCAAAGCTTGAGCAAAGAAGACCTCAAAGCCCACCTGCACAGTGACACACTTCCTCCAACAAGGCCACACTTACTCCAGCAAAATCATATTTCCTAATAATGCTACTCTCTATGAGCTTATGGGGGGCCAATTACATTCAAACTACCACATTCTGTAAGCCTGTACAAGTTCACTTATCTCTTAGGGACCTCAACTGACCTACTGTAGAAAAGGAAGAGACAGGCCTCTACGGAGCACCCTGGTGTTTTCTACCCAGGGGAAGAGAAGGGAGGTGACTCTTCCTTCTTCCCTGAAGGGAAGGGTGTTTGGGAAATCCCCAGGAGGGTACAATCATCTTGAGAGATACTTGTTGGCCACACTGAGCTGAGCATGGAAGACAGTCCCTGGGATGTCCTGAAAGAGGCACAGAAGCCCTGTTCAGAGGAACCTCAGGCTGGTGTCTCCCAGATGCCCAGCAGCAATGGAATGGATGGATGCTCCATAGCCCTGAGAAGGAATGACCTATTACTAGCCATGGCAAAGTGACAAATGCTGTGAACACACTGAATGAAAAGGACAGACACTTGAGTGGGCTCACTCTTCACACAGCATCATTTAAACACAGGAGCAATAACTCAATGGTAATCAGAAAGTGGTTTTCTTGGGCAGTAGGGAGGGGCACACAGATGCCTAGAGACCTGGTACTGCTCTGCCTCTTGACCTGAACAGTGGCTTGATGGGTGGGACAGGAGGGCTTTCTTGGGGACCTGTCAATCCCTGTGCTGTGCAGTGATGTATGTGTGCTGTTCTGCATGTTTGCTTCTGAGAAAACTAATGAACTCCTAGGAATGCAGCCACAGGCTTGGTCCTCATAGGGATCCTTCTTGGAACACTGAGCAGCTCTTGTCTCCTTGAGTGCATGGAGGTCCTAGGGTATGGTGAGGCAGGAGGTGAGGCAGAGATGCCAAGGGAGCAGCTTAAGGGCTATGTCCTAACCCCTCAGGTCTTTGAGAAGGACTGTCCTGTATGGCAAAGTACAGAACACAGCTTCAGAGCTGGTCAAGCTTAAGTTAAATTCTGTCACTGTCACTCACTAGTTGTCAATGTCTTCACCAGAAAAGCATATTAGTTCTTTCAACAGCTCATTCTATACCAAATCCTGTTTGGACTGGTTTGGATACCACACAACACTCTAGGGTGCGGGTTCTGTTAGGACCACTGGACAGCATGAGGACATCTTCCTCAGGCTTCCAAGACAGAAGCCTCCAAGCTAGGCCATGACCCAGGCAGTCAGTACTATGTCCTACCCTACCCAGGAGCCATTGCTTGGGTTCAGACAGCTCATGAGAACCCTGTTGTACTGAGTACCACACACAGCTGAGTCACAAAGGGCAGGGATTTTACCCTGCTGTGCTCCCAAGTTTCAACTGGCAAGGGCTGACGGAGGCAGACAGAGATGGCCTGTTGGCTCCAGGTCACAGAAGATGGCAGAAACAGTCATTGTCCCCATGACTCAGAAGCCTTTGTGTTCTGGATTCAGGCACAGGCAGCATGATGGTGTCAGCTAGAGGCCAGTTCCAAGACCCCACCTCCTCTGCAGAGGGCACACTGGGCCTCCATCTACTCTGTATTGAAGAGGTCTTAAGCGAGCTCTCCTGGTAGCAGAGCATTCTGGGGATTCTGGAGTCTCAGAGGAAGCTGGTCTGCTCCCAAAGCAAGTCCTCTGTCTTTCCTCTGGCTGCAGTGCTAGTGCTTGGAAGGCCGGAGAATGACAGAGCCAAGAGGGTACAGTGGGTACCAGCCAGGACACCCTGGCAGCTCATCTGTCCCTCATCATAGCCCCACCCCCTGAGTCCCTCATTGTCACAAGAGGGCCCAGCCTTGGCTTACCTTACGCCTGTTCCTTTGGTTCCCCAATCCATGGCGGACTGATGCAGTACTGGCAATGGAGACATGGTAGCCTCACTCTGCCAGAGGTCAGATATTCATCTACCACCTGTCTGCTTCCTCCTGACTTTTTCCCAAACCTGTGACTGCCCCCTCACACACATGATCATGCTTTACTTCCTCCCTTTTCACCGTCCCTCAGAATGACTCCTCTGCTACTTGAACCAACTATAACAGATAATATTATTTACTGGGCACTGTGTGCAATGCAACGCACATTATGTGTATTCTTAATGATATTACATAGGACAGTTTCTCAGAGAAATTACCACACTTGTCCCCAGGCCACCCTACTTCTAAAGGGTAGTGCTAGATTTTCAAACCCAAACTCCCTGCTTACCACCATGTCTGCCCTTCTCCTGGACTCAGGGGCTGTCTGAAAGCTAACACAGGCTTCTCCCTGCAGCCTTCCCAGACACACCCTCCCAGCTGCTCAGACTGTCTGTCAAAGGGAGTGATGGCCATGAGCAGGTTTGGCAGTGCAGCATATAGGGAGGACACTGTGACAGCGCCATGGCACCCTACTCCATGAAGACCCACTCTGAACCTACTGTGTGGGTTTCTCTTGCACCTTAAAAAATTCACATGCCTGTGGCCAGCAAGAACCTGGGGCCCAGGGCAGGACACTTTTGTTCAACTTCCTGCAGGAAAGGTACCATGGTCAGCAGCCTAGGCTCTGGAATCAGAGAACATAGGAACTGTGTGTGGAAGAGAGCTCCAACCCCTCCAGAGTCTACTGCCTCATCTATAAAATGAGACTATGAGGGTCTACGTCATAATGTTTTATGAACACTAAATAAGATGATGCACATGAAGTACTTGGCATGCAGCATGTGCACAGGATCAGCAGCTGTTTTACTACCTGCCTCGGCACATCCTGGGCTGCTGCGTTCTGGTCTCTGTGTGCCAGGAGTTCCTAGATATCTAACATACATCGCTCTCTGTCCTGGTGCTGGTGGCGGACACTTTCTTTCCGTTTGATAGAGAGTGGAGATGGAAGTGAAGTATCTTGGAAAAGGGTATCCTGACCACCATTTTCATACTTTGCCACCCCCTCCCCATCCCTGGCCAAAGTCACTCTGAAACCAAATATTCTTTATTACCCAGATGGTTCTCCACTTTAGTTGAATTCTGTGCCTATAAAACTGGATTGTAAATTTTAATTGTAACCCAATAGGTTAGAATTTGGGAGCCAGTGATGGGTCAAAACCAGTAGTATGTGGCTGGCAGCTCTTTGTGTTTTTAAAGTACTGCTATATGACTAGGGCCAGGAAAGTCTCTTCTTCAAATGCCCCCACTTGCCCCATGTGGCCTAGTGACCTACCAAAGCAAGAGGACATGCTCCCTTCACACTTTCTGCTGTGGTCATGTGTCCCATGAAGATGAAAGGTTAGGGAAACCCTGCTTTCACAAACGGGGTATCTCCACACCCATTGATGTAGATTTTCTTCTATGTACAGAATTTAATGTTGAATATATTAAAATAACAAATCTGGCATGGTTTGGGGAGGTTAGATTTACTGGAAATGTATTCATACTGTGAATTGTGCTCTGATGGTTAAAATGAGAAGCTTGTCAAGCATTCCGTATTAACAGTGGATGTAGAAAATTTTTTCAGATGGATAAAATGTATATGGTACAGATGTAAAGTTTTCTATGTAAAAAATTCTGTACAACTTTCTGTACAATATTTATTCTCATCTGGCATATCTAATCAGGTTATAGGTCAATAAAGTTTTTGAATTATAAAAAAAGGAGGAACTTTCCATAGTAAGAATAAGTTGGAAACCAACAAATAATAGTCCAATAGACCACATAAGGTCTACAACCCTAGGCTAAGGTAGGCGCATGGTATAGTTTGATTTCTGGGCCCAATTTTGACATGGGATTAGAAAATCCCATTTAAAAGTTGCATCCTCATGTAGACTTGGGATTTTAAACTAGCAAAATGAGGAAAATAACTCTCTATACACATCCTGGTTGAATTCTTAGGTTATGCCCTCTGAGGCCCACAGACAGGATATCACTCTTCTTGCTAGGCCTACTGTCTTCTCTAGTACAGACAGACATTCTTTCACTCAGATGTTTCCTGCACTGATACTCTATGCCAGGGTCCCTACCTTGTGGGAAGTCAGATCATAACAGTGAGGCACATAGTCTACACATCCACAGCACACTCGGGCACATGGACAGGTGACCTGTCTGCCAGCCACCCCAACTTCTCTGAACTAGGAACTCTCAAGCTCTTTTATGTCCTGAGAAGTCTGGTGTCCGGGGGCAAATTTAAGTGAGGCTGAGGAAACATGAAAGACAAGGGAAAGAGTAGGAATGGGGAGGGGCAACGATGATGAGTCCAAACAAGGCGATGGACAGAATGAGTGTCCTGAGATACCTAGTATCTTTGTACATAAATATATGACACATGTATAAGCACAAACACACACACACACACAGTCATACATACAAACAGTTACACACATATTGAGAGAGACTAGAGGTTCATGGCCAGGGAAAATGTGGAGCCATTGCCTGTAGTCTCTGAAAGTGTTTAGTAGTGTCTATCAGTCAGAGTGGCAAGGACAGCATCTCTAAGACAGAAATATTCATAATACTCATTTTCTCATTACAAAATTACACACATAAACACACATGCATGTGTACGTATACACACACACACACACACACACACACACACACACACACATACACGCATGCATACATGTCTGCATCATCCAATAAGCAAGTATGGAGAAATACAGGTACTATGAGCATTGCTGTGGATGAGCGGTAAGTGCTGCCATGGTACACAGCCTGCTGCAACCAACGAGACCCCAAATGGACACTCCCTCCAACATCAGCATCTACAACACTGAGCAAAGCGTCTGTTTTCAATGTGTGGACAATTCTGAGTTGCATCGTATTTTCCATTGTTGCTTCATTTGTGTATTCTGCTTCCTCCTGATAGGCAAGCAGAGCTGAAGGGCACCCAGAGAGAGTTCTGGTTATAGGCTTGCAGCCAGAAGAAAACATGAAGTCTAGCGGCCTTGATTATTCTACTTCTGACTCTGTCCCCAGCAGCTGTGTGTACTAGCCAATCACTGGGCTTCTCTGCCCTCTTTCTTTGCTCACTTGTAAAATGAGTTCACCTCATCCTGGGATGGTAGATGACTGAATGCATAAAAAGTACTTAAGTGTGAGTAGGAATTTTAATGTCTCACAACTTCTAATGATCATCCCTCAGGATTCTTATTTTTCTCCATTTTCCTCATTCATCATTTTTCACTTTTCTCTGGTGTTTATCTTGGTAAGCCATTCTAAAGTCCTTTTGGAAGAGAGTGTAATATGAATATATGCATAAGTGAGCTGGTGTGCTAGACAGTAAATGGGAGGTTGGGGGTCCCTGATAGCAGTACAACAGTGGGGTTTTTATCATCTCCACTTCTACCTTATATATCACTTGTCTTTCCCAAGGAAGCATCACATGGTAAAATCCCTTATACATTTATTGAGCACCAATTAATTAGCAAAATCCTTTATACTGTGGTTTACTAAAAACCTAAGTCTGTGAACTGACCCTGTTTATCTGGCATAATTTTTGGTTGTGTATACACTGGATTGGTTTGAATGAGAATGGCTCACATAGGCTCATATATTTAAATGTGTGGTCCCCAGTTGGTGACACTGTTCAGAAAGAATTAAGAGGTATGACAGTGTGGGTGGGCTTAGTGGTTTCAAAAGCCTGTGCCAGATCCCAGTTAAATCTCTCTGTTTCATGGTTGTTGCCTTAAGATGTAAGCTCTCAGCTAACGCTTTAGCACCTTGCCTGCCTGCTTGCTGCCATGCTTCTCACCATGATGGTCATGGACTCACCTTCTGAATAAGTCCCAATAAACCCTTTCTTCTATTAGTCATCTTGGTCATGGTGTCTTATCACTCAATAGAAAAGTATCTAAGATATACATGTATAGTTCTTCTTGGAAGAGGGTTCTCTCTACCCATTCAATCCTGTAAGATCCCAAAGCCCTACTAAAACCTGTGCTCTGAGGCTCCCTGTTTTGGCCCCATCTCTACCAGGGAACTGGCTGGTGTTTACAAGCTGGGGACCACAGGCAAGATGTGCTGTCTCCCTGGCCTCAGCTTTCTCACTTCTGAATCAGGATGCTGGGCTTCCTGCTATAACATCAGCATAGGGATGGGTACTGATTCTTACCTCAAGGTCCCGTAGCACAGGATGGTCTTCAATCCCTGGGAAGAGCACCCGCATGGTGTAGGTCCTGTAGTCCAGGAAGGGTATCCCAGCTCCATCCAGGTCACTGGTAAGCTCATGGATATCTGTCTGCAGCTCTGCAAAAGCTAGCACAAAGGGAAGTCTGTGAGTGGTCTGGGATGACAGCTTACTAGGTAATGTGCTTGCCTTGTAAATATGAAGACCTGAGTTTGAGCCCTACAACTCTGGTTTAAAAAAAAAAAATCCCTGGGCATGGTGGCACACACCTTTAATGCTATCATTCAGGCCAGACAGGAGACTCCTGGTGCTCACCAGCATGGTTTAAAATACAAGGTGGACAGAAGCCTGTGAGATGCTGGCTGGGGCCCAGCCTAAGCGTTACCTCTCTGAGAATGTTGAGAACCCTCACCCAGGTCCCTGGAAGTGTGATCTGTGGACCTGTGCATGAAAGAATGATGGACCTAGATGGCATTAGCATGGGAGAAAGCTGATCTGGGGCCTCATGTCTTTCAAACAGCAGAGGAATGGGAAGGCTACCCTCGGACCTGTAATGCCATTGGGGTCAAAAGAGAAAGGGCTCTGGTTTGTAAAGCATGTTGGGAAGGGAACTGTAAAAGGGCAGGAGGGCAGAGGGACAGAACAGAGAGATGAGCCTATGCCTAGAGATGCACTTTGAACTGGGTTTTCTTAGCAAAGTCAAGAACAATTTTTTCCAATTAAAAAAGCGTTTGAGCATCCAATTCTGGATCACGTAGTTCTCACAACTCAAACAAGCCTCAGGCAGAGGGCCTGCTACTCTAACCAATTTCTTCTGCACAGACATGAAGGGGGGCACCTTTGCGCTTCTTGCCTCAATGCAGTGCTATCTGGTGGTGGGTTATAATTGCATGGAGGCACTGTTGTCTGTGAGAGCAGCTCAGACCTCCAGATGGATACAGTCGCAAGGCCCCAGCTGGCCCCTAGGAAAATCTGGCATGTGACAGAGCCCAGAGCCAAAGCTGTCATACTCCATCCTGGCACAATGCCCCCTGAGGCCATCCTCTGCCGCCTCAGAGCTGCAGCTGCTAGTCCTGCTAAGCTGTGGCATTCTCCTTGGTGCATGCCCTCCCCATATCTGCATGCATGCACATACATGCACACACATGAACAGATTGTATTGACACACACTGACAAAGAACAAGTCATGGTTGTTGCCTGACCAATGTTTATTTTCATTTATATAAACTTAAGACTAGAAAAAAAAGAGAAGTTGGGGGGTTCAGACGGGATTCACAAGCTCAAAGGGCTCTAGGGACATCAAAGAGCAAACCTAGTGCCCAATGGGATACGATGACATGTAAACATGACACAGTACCCTGAACTGCACACAGGGTCCTGCATTGTCCTTTCTGGTGACTGTGGGAGAACTGATGTGGGGTCTGTAGGTTTCCATGAGTCTTGATGCCAGGAGAGCCCCGGGGCTCGCTGGTAAGACTAGGGAGCTAAGTTGTACACTAGCAGACCTGCAACCTCTTCTGGTGCTCCCTTCCTAGCGGCCCTGCTCCCCTGTTCTGTTACATGGAGGCTGGAGTTCTTGTCATGCAGTGACACCAGAGGCAGAGGCCCTAATGCTTCTGAACACACTCGGGTGCATGTGAGCCACTGTGCGTACATAAAGGAAGCCAGGAGGCCTCTGTGACATGCACTGTCACCAAAGCCTAACAAACATGTATTGATGGTTGATCTTCACTGCTAGCTTGAGTGGATTGAGACGTGCCTAGGAGATTAGTGTAATTTATCTCTGGGTGTGTCTGTAAGGGCCTTTTCAGAAACAACTAGATAGTAATTTTCAATGGATTGACTCATCCTTTGATGGATTCGTAATATGATGGTGCTGTTGGGAAAGCTTCAATTTATGGAAGGTGGGGCTTGGGATCACTGGACACTAGTGAGGAGCTGTCCTTGGGACTGTATCTCGCCATGGCCCCTTTCTGTTTCTGCTCTTCTTTGCTTCCTGACAGCTGTCAGTTGAGCACTTCACCATGCTCCCCCTACTCCATGATGGTTGAACCCTCTGAAAACATGAGAGAAGAAACCCTTCCTCCTTAAAGTTGGTTCTGTTGGGTTATTCGATCACAGTACTGTAAACTGATCAACACACTTGTGCATATCCGGAGTAAAGGACACATACCTGTATCTGTGTAATTGGAGAGGTATGCATGAGCAGGAGTGGGGTGCACAGGTGTGAGTGTGCGCCTGTTTTAACTTGTATAAGAGCATGCAAGCATGTCAGTGAGGATGCAGAGTGGGAATCTGTGTTTGCACATGTATGTGCCAATATATCCAAAGCTCAGGTCTGGGCTGATGTTTTCTAGTGTAGGCGTGGGTAACTTCCTGGCTGACAATGAAATCTCCACACAAACCTTGCCCTGGGCTTGAGCTGCCTCATAAACACGCAGAAGTTGCCTTGGCATCCTGGAAAGTGCCTCCATGGTCAACCCTGCATGTCCTTTGCTATAAGATGTCTGCTTCCATCCCAGCAGCATAAGTGTCCCTAGCCAGAAGCCATGGTCCCCATGGGACTCCATGGGTTTCTGCCTGCTGAGCCTTTCTTCCTCAGGGAGCTCCTAGAGGAGCCTGGCATCCCCCTCCTCCCCCTGCCACTGCCACCACCTCCTCCTGATTGGACTGCTCCGCTGGCCAGGAGGAAAAGGAGGGAGTCAGGTTTGATGGGTCTGCAGTTTCCTTTAAACCTCCAACATTCAAAGCCTCACGCCTGCCACACATAAAAGAGATTCTAATCACTACACCTAATTAGAGGGAAGAGTACATTGCAGAGAAAAAAAATTAAGCAGTGTAAATATAATAAAAGGCAGTAATTAACAGTCCCACAAGGCAGATGCCAGGAAGACAGCTGAAGGATGTGGAGATGGGATGGATCCTTGTCCCCATGAAAGAGGCGGAGCTTCCCCAGCGGGAACCTGCATGATGCTGGAGCCCAGGTACAGGGCTGGATTAACACTGGGTGCATATTACCCACTGAGAAATAGCTCAGCTCCTTCCTCCCAGGGTGGGCTTACAGAAGGATGTCCCAGGGTTATGTGAGTCTGCCAGCTAAGCTGCCTTCTTGGGTTTGACACTGCTGATCTCCCTTCATGGTGGCTCATGTACATTTTTCAAATACAAGCTGTGAAATGCAGTTCCTTTGAAATCACAGATCAACCCTACAGAATTCCCTTTCTGCTGATAGAAGAGAACTGAGGATTGCTTGCATGTTTCATGGGGAGATACCCCCAGGTCCTCCCTGGAGGAGACTGTGGCCACCCCACCCCCCACCAGAGTTCTGAATCTGGACACTGTTCTTGGTATATAAAGGATCTCAGGAACATGTCTGGAACGAGTAGAGAGAAAACCAGAGGTGGATTGCTAGACAGGGCTTTGGTCTGGGACCCCAGCTAAGCTCTGAAACTGGCAGAAAGGTTCTGCAGGTAGAATGCCCAGTCTGTGAGGCCACCCATTGCATCCCAGCTTGCTGGCCTGTAAATAGGAGGCACACACACATACAGCACCCCCCCCACACACACACACTCACACAAGTGCATACATGTATACACACAATCTCCAGCACTGCCTGCTGTAGTCTAGCTTGCTGGCCTGTACATGAAAGACACAAACACACACGTGTACATTTGCATACACAACTACCACCCACTGCAGCCCCACCCATTGGTTAATGCACTTACAAACACAAATATAAATACACACACACACACACACACACACACACACACACACACACACACACATAACCTTCAGCACTGACAGGTGCTGCCCGGTCTGGTTGGCATTGTAAAGAGGCATATATGTGTAGAGACATATATACATTGACTTACATGTGTTTACATGCATACACAACCTCTAACACTACCCACTGCTACCCAGCCTGCATGTTTGTATATGATAAGCACACATGTGTACACACACAGACTTCACACCAGGCACCAGCACCTGAACACTCAGTACCTTCCTTGCACTCCAGGGCCACACGGGACTCGAGGTTGTCCATCTGCATCTGGAGACGCTTCAGAGTGAGGTCACTTTCCCGAGACTTGCGTTTGTAGGCGATGAGCACTGCCACAATGAAGATGATGAGGAGACCACCAGCCACCGCGATGCTGACGATGGCAGGCAGACTGAGTGGGCTGTCCGGGGCAATGTACACCATGCCAGGGGAATACTCCATGCCACCCACCCGTGCCTGTGGACATAGAGAAGAGAGGGAGGGTAGCAGAGCAGACTGGGGAAGAGTTCTAAGTCAGAAGGAGAACGTGATTACCAATGAGAGGCACCCCCACACACACAGCAGAAAAATAGAAGAGAGAGTATGGACAGCAGAGACCACCCTTCAACCAGAAAATGCACCCATCCTCTCATGCGGGAGGACACAGTCATCATATGGAAACAGCTCACAACTGTACTGTAAACACAGTGACCTAGCACCAACATCTAAGACTCACCCTGCCATCCGAGATGGAAACTAAGACATAGAAATAGCATCAAGGACCACCCTACATCAGCGATGATCTTCGTCTTAAAGGCCCTCTTGGTCCTAACAGACAACTGATTATCACGCCATTTAATGTTCTGCCCTTGCTGTACCCACCAGGACAGAGGACAATACACAAGAGGCTGACTAGTGGGATGGGAAGACAGAAACCGGTCTGGGGTGAGCTGGGAGGAAAGCTCACAGTGGAGAGAAGTCTCTAGAAGCCTAGCTGTAGCTGAGCCACTCTCCCCCAGCACCCCTCATGCCTGGTCCACACACAGTGAGATCCCAGTAGCCTCACCATCACTTTGTGCCTGCCGATGAGGTTGGGAGACTCGCAGAGTAGCTGCACATCTGACACTGTCACGGTGCATGGCTTCTCTCCAACCAGCACGGTGTAGTTCAGCTTCACATTGCCTCCAGCCACAGGTGGGATCAGGTTCTTGCCCTGAGCAGACAGGAAAGCCCCCATTCCCAAGCCCGAGTCAGGACCACAGCTGCTAGTGGCTGCCGTGGCCTCTGACTCAATGTCCCATCTTATGGATGAACTGGGGAAGAGGCCACAATCAGCAAGAAGTCCAAAGGTATTGGTACATGTGTTAGATGTGGTGTCAGGAGTTCGGTCCCTAGTACTGTAAGAGAGAATGGGACCTTTAAGATGTGAAGCTTGATGGAAGATCATGACTTCCCCACGTCTTAAAGGTCCTCTCTGGTTCTCTTGTCATATGTGCTCCTGCTATAAGGTCCTCATGAAAACCAGGACTACTACTGGTCTTTCATTTTCCAGAACAATGAGGCAAGTTAACTTTTTTCTTTATAAGTACCTAGCATCAAGCATTTTGTGACAGTAACAGAAAACAGATTAATACATTAGACATCCTAGTATCTTTTCTTCCTCCCAGTAAGAATTCAATAATTGACAATTAAAGTGTTATAAAAAGCTTATCTGGAATACCTTTAGGATGATGGGGGTGCCAGGCTTGAGCTCCAGGATTCCCGAGGGACTGAAAGCCTCAAACACAGGGTTAGGATAGTAGGTGAAGTTGGTCTTGTTGAGAATTAACAGAGACTGGACATTGTCCAGGATGAAACCAAATTCTTCAGGCCTTTCAGTAAGATCTGATTGGTGGTCAGGACCCAGGGCAAGGGCTGGAGCCTGGCAGGTCATCTCAGTAGCATTCAGGACCTCACAGATCTACAGGAGTCAGACAAGGGGACAATGAGAAATATCTCCACACCAGGACTTCCGGTGTGCCATCGGTGCTACATGGGGTTCATATGGGAGGATGATGGAGGAGGGCACCAAGTCACACTCTTGGCTACTCACAGATCCCACCCTGCAGCTGTCTCCTGTTTCTGGATTTGCCCAGTGTGAATGTGGCAATGACTAGGTATTTTCTAAACTGGGTAAGAATGGTAGGGTGATAATGGAACCCCGTGGACTGTGGAGGTAATTGGTCTCTTAGGCCTATAGCCCCCAAAGCTGAAAATATGGTCATATCAACTCCCCTATCCTACCATCCCAGGACTTGGAGGTATCCCATGCCATGAGTCATTGTATGTAGGCAAGGACCTGCCAATGGACTCACATTGATGTGTTCTTTCCCTCCATGCTTGGCACGGATCTGGGGGTTCTGTATGAGGTCCAGGTGAGTTCCCCAGACAGCGATAGGTGTGTTCCCACTGCCCAAAAAGAAAGAAAGGAGTGTGTGAACCACAGCCACAGGAGATGTAATGGCCATGACAACAATGGTTATCAGGGTGAGCCACGACAATAAGGATGAGGAAGCACAGTTGTGTCCTTGGAGACAAGGAGGAAAAGCCAACTGTAATAACAAGAAGGAGTATCTCAGAAGCCCAGAGGGAGGGCAGTGGTGAGCAGATATCCATAGTGTCCCTTGCTGGGCCTCTCATGGAGGCCCAGGTGACAGCACGGCCCCTTAGTTCTCTGAGGCTTCCAGACTGGAGCTAGCTGTTTCAGTCCTGGATTCTCCTCCCCTGATCCTCTCCACTCTCAATCTTGTTCTAAAGTAAGCTCCCAGCAGAACCTCCAGTGTCGAAGCACATCTGTTTTCCATGGCAATTGTGCTACAATTTTCCTCCTTGGTGGCTTCAGTCCAGCTGAGACCTATGAAAGCCATGGCCCAGCTCCAGACACCTCTTCCAAGATTACGAGTGTGACATGCTCTGAGACTCGAGTGACACAGGACAGACATGAGGGGGACTCAGGTGACTCACTTCAGTGTGGCCTTTCAAAGGATGCTATGTTCTGTGCCCGGGAAAGCTGAGAAGCTGGTGGGGAGGGTGGGAAGCCCTGTTCTTGGCTATGTCCTACTTGGACTGGAGGGAGCAATGACCTGATTGTTAGTCAACGGAGCATCATTGGCAAACATCCTGCTGTCCAAAGCAGGGCTTTGTAGGTAAATTCCTTCTAAACTTAGCGGCTATGATTCTTTGTCACCTGTACTCACATGGGATTCTACCGCTCTATCTACTTTCCCGTCTTTAAACTTCCCATGACTTCTCTCTCATTGAGTGTATCTTGCATGCATTCATGAGCTCACATGCATGCACATACTTCCAGGGGTGCCTGCAGGATTCCTTCTACACAGAGCACAGTTCAGACAAGTTTCTGGTATCTAGCCTCTCTGTCCCCAGACTTCCCAAACAATAATTCTGCACTCAGTAGAAAAAGATCCCATCATTGTCCTCAAACAACCCAGGCACTTACAGGAAGCTCAAATCCCACACATGGTACAATGCCCACTTCATCCTCAGATTTCCTTAACTTAAGCAAAAATGCTGGCAGTCTAGAATGTGTGTCCAGCCTCCCTCACGGCACGAGTGTGTCTTGGGGCACTGCTGAGTGCCAGGAAGATGACACCTTTATTTCTGAGACAATAGGAAGGGAACCCGAATTCAGTAAGGTCATGGATGCCCCCAGAGTATCACTGTCTAGCTTCTTGAGTGAGACACAAAAGTCTGTGTCACCTTTCTGAATCACCGGGCTCTGAGGCCAAGGCCTGGCATGGCTCTGAAAGGCTGTTTCTCTTCAAGCCTTAGCTAAGGACAGCCAATGGCCTTTCTCATCCCAGCAGTCAGGCTGCTTCTCTCTGGTCTTCAAGCAGAGGGTGGCCAACTATTTCTCTGAAGGGCCAGGCAGTAAATATTTCAGGCTCCACAGGCCATATGGTCTCTGTCACAATTACTCAACTCTGTGCAGTCATGAGAAAACAACTGTAGACAATACAACCAGCGAGCAGAGCCGTGTGCCAATAAAATTTTATTTATAAAAATTTAGGCAACCAGTCAGGTGTGGCCTTTGAGTCCCTGGTCTAAGTTTAGCCCCCTAGACCAGGCTTGCCCCTGCCTCAGCCAGCACACAGCACTGCTTTATTATGTCTTCACTAACTTCTCCAGTCCTGGGACCCCTCCTGGCTGGAGTTGACTGTGGGGAGCACTGAGCAGGGGACAGGTGGACAATAAGGTGATGTCAAGGTCACCTGTTGGGTAAGCAACATGGACTGAACCCATTCCTTCCCACCCCAGGTCTTCACTGTGTTCTCCAGTGCAGCCCAGAACAGCGGCTTCCCAATGATCTCCAGGGGCCTCACAGAAAGGACAGCCTCTGTGGAGCCTTCTCATCCTGATATGTCCTCCAGGCTTGGAAAAGCGGACATGGTCAGGTGCCTGCAGCTCCATTTCAGAAGGGAGGCACTATACTCCTACACCCTAAGGGTCCTGCAGTCTCTCAGTCCCCAGGAGAATCCTCCTAAAGCTAGAAGTCCAGGAAGAGCCATGGCTTGCCCCGCTGAACTACCGAAGTGCTGGACAGGGGTCTGGGCTCTCCCTAGAGCCCTGTCACATGTCCTCTTCCACCTCCTGTGCCATTTGGCTTAGTGCATTTGTGCTGGGCACTGGGGAAGCCACGAGGAACAGGGCCCAGGCTCTGCCTGGCTGAATCTGTTATTTGAGAGGAACAAAGGCAAGCGGGCAGCAGGGCTGGGGAAGGGACGGCTGGGAAGAGGCCTCAGTCTCCCAGGTCACTGGTTTCTCTTGGGCTTTTGAGAGCTGAGAAAGAGAAACTGAGGCCTAGAGGCAGGGAGGAGGTTGGGGGATGGGTCCTCCTACCTGACAATGCTCCACTCTGGCTCAATACGCACGATGGTGGGGTCCTCAACATACTGAAAGACCAGGTCCTGTCGGATCCTGGCCCTGTCCACCTGCACAGTCACCTTCATGTCCAACACCTCATCTGAGGATGTAGTGTTACAGATAATGTAGGATGGCGAGCGCCTGGAAAGGAAGGCAGAGCATGGGCTCCTAGGTATTAAGCAGTGGTCCGGGCTCAACGCCTTTCTTGGCACATCAGGTTTCACAGAAGTAAGGGGTGGGCCCTGTCATAGATAGAAGCTCACGAACCAAGGACAAGGGTCAACCTTTTGAAAGGCTCCTCTGAGCCTACCTTTCAAATAGGCCTGGTCTTTGGGCTGTCCTTGACCCTAGCCCCTGCTCCAATTTTAGCAAGGATCTAGCTACGTAAGTCTGGCGAGGTTCCTTCCTCCACGTCTCATTCCTGCCTTGCCTGAGAATCCCCTGAAGTGAGTTTGGCGGCCCCTTGCCACCTCCTCCCCGTGACTCTGAGTCCTGAGCTCTGGCTATACTTGTGGCACTGGGGTTGAGCTTCGCCTCTGCCCTCTTCTGAGTTGCAGCCCTGCTGCAGCAGCTTTGAGCAAAGTCACCCTCACTCCCTCACTAAGTAATGGTTTCTTGGATAGCAGTAATGCAAGACTCCTGGCTGGTCTGACTTTGAATCTGTCACAGTTCCTGTCATAACCTACTCCAGGAACACCTGTCTCTGGGGACTTGGGCTCAGATCGGTCACATCTCCCACAGCATTCCTTGGAAGGGCTCCCTGTGGCCCCTACTTCAGGCTCCTGGCTAGGTAAGGTATATCCCTTCGGGCTGCAGACCCAGCTAGGCAGAAGGAGGAAGGCCTCTTGCCCTTGCTGGCTCAGCCTTGGCCTTCTGGGATCACCTGTTTAGAGCAGATGGGGTGGTCCCAAACAGCTCCCAGCAGGAGAGGCTCTGCCCCTTGAAGGGGCATCAGCTGCTGGTTCCAAGCTGGATGCTCAGTGGAACTCCCATCCTCTGCGAAGGGTACATCCTAGGACACCAGGCTGAACTATGGACAGCAGCATGGCACCTCCCCACCTTCCATGGAAAACAGGGCTGGTATCTACTGTCTTCCCCCAAAGAGAGCAAGAATGAGAGCTTTTGGAGGGACTTGCAAAAGTCAGCCTGGGAAAGGGGCAGTTTCTGTTCATCTCTGTGGGAACCCACATTTCCTTCCCAGGTGGTTTACATGTCTAGACCCTCCTCTGGGTCCAGGGGTTACCTGTGGAAGAGGCATGGCTGGCTCCCAAACATCACCACCACATCGCTGCCTGCATTCAAGTTGGTGCCTGTGATGGTAACCTGTGTGCCCCCAGACATGGGTCCCCGGCTGGGCTTCAGGTCTGCGAGGGTCAGAGTCTGCATAGAAAAGAAGAGGACTGAGACATGCTGGGCTAGGGGGAGGAGGCTGGGACAGGCCTTAGGCAGTGCCCCATGGTCTACTGAAGAGCTGCCATCTAGAATCTACTCATGTGGCCTCGCCGAGCCATTTTGTATTCTTGTGTGAATAGAGCTTTCATCTCTACGTGAATAATAGTGGTCATGAGAGCCGCTGTGTACTGATTTTTTTTTTTTAGTGACAGCCTTTATCTCTAGTGATATAGACATATGTATGTCTATAATTATCCAGTCAGCGATTTTTAAAAATGGCTATCATTATTTCACAGATGAGACTCAGAGGGGTTAACTAAGTTCTCTGAGGTCACATGGCTAAAAAGTACTGCAGTTGAGACCTGACTCCACAGCCCTGGTCTCCAGCCACGACTCCAAGAGACAGAGAAGGGAACCTGCCATTCCCAAAGGTCTCTTCAGGGAACCCTCCAGTGGCCAGAGCATGGGGCATGGGAAGACTGTGCCCAAGAGATCTTTGAAGGCCTGTCAAGCCCCCTGCCCTGACTGGAGGTGAAGAGCGGGCTGGGTGGGGGTGGGGAGCAGAGCCCCAGACAGTAGGGGATTTGGAGTTTGCAGTTTGTGCCTTCATTAGCATTTTAATGGAAAAACTTTCCCTGGTCCCAGGTGAGAAGCCTGTATCTGCATTTAAATGAAGATTTCTCTTTCCCTTCCCCAGCTACAGTTCCTGAAAGAACTCTGTTCTGAGGCCAAACCCACCGGGTTCACAAGGCCATGGGTACTCTCCCTCAGGAGGCCTCCTGTGGGGGCCAGCAAACCCACCCACCTGCCATGTACCCAGACCCCAGAGAAGGGCACACTGATGGCATTCACCTGGAGACACTCACTGACCTTGGCTCCACGTTTCCTCAGCTAGGTTTAACATCCTGGCTTTGTGACTGAACAGCCAAGGAGAAGGGACTTTTGATATCTTGCTGTGTGACTCTGGGCAAGATAGTCAACTTCTCTGGTCACAGAATTGGGGAATTGAGCCCTATAGCGGTTATCTCTAGGACCCATGACAGTTTTCTTGTTCAATAAACTATAATAATCAGCTATTTCCAAAGGGTGGCTCTGCCCCACTGGCCTCCTCAGAGAGAAAACACCCAGTCTGTCTGCTGGTGCCCGGTGCCCCAGGGCCATGGGGAAGGTTCAGAGTCAAAACCTGGGAAGGACCAGAACTTGCCTCATTGCAGTGGTGTTTTGCAGGGCCTGGCTGGAAGGGGTCTGTTCTGGGTGGGAGAGGGTGTTATGGAAACATGTTTTAGACTTGTGAGAAACGATTAATTATTCAACTCATGCTTCATAAATATTTCACGGTGGGTTTGCACGGGAAATCAAAGTCTGAATTATTTGCCAGCTCTTCACTTGGCTCCATGAACGAACAGACTAGAAGGGAGAGGGAGAAGGCGCATTCCCAGCATGGAGACCTCCTGGGACAGGGCTGGTGGCGGGCCAGGAGCACTGATCTGGGCTTTGACATTCGTCTGACTAACCTACACATCAGAGCCTGGTTTGATTTGTGGAGAGAAGCTGAAGGAAACCCAAGTTTGTCCCTGAGGCAGGAGAGTGGGGCAGAGAGTAAGGCCTGGGAGGCCTTACATGAAAGATTGCAAAATTAGTAAGGGAGAAAAACCTGTTAGCAAAGCCGAAGGCTCGAAGCACCACCAACTGGGGAGGGGGGAGGGGGGAGGGGAGAGGGGGGATGACGACCCAAACTGTGGAGCCACCAGTAGAGGCACAGAGGCACCAGGGTCTGTAGGTGACCTGTGGATCATTATAATACCAACACCCCCTTTCCCCATCTGTGGAGATTTGAGCCCCTGAGATACATGAAACTGGATGGAGAATTAAAGGTAACAGAGCAGGTGTGAAAAAGCCCAAATGACCCCCCAAAGCCTGTGAAATGAGACATAAAAGCCACACAGTGGGCTCCAGGCTAAGCTTGTAAACTTTCTCCCTGCCCCAGACAGCGTCCGCCCTTGGAAGCGTATCATTTTCTAATCAACCTGCTTCTGTGGCTATCCACATCTGTCCAGTTCTTGGTTCCAGGACATGAGAATCTGGAAGTCACTGTGGATGCTCACTGAACTCTACTATATCCCCTAACCCTGACACCAGGAAAGTGCTCTCAGCACACCCCAGAGCACCAGAAATCCCTGGAGGAGCCTGGGGAAAGCTATCCCAGGACCCCACAGGAGAGCTTTCAGGGTGGTGCTTAAGAAGTGTCCCCTCCGCACAAGCCACCTAGCTGAGAGGAGAGGAAGATGGTGAGAGCCCTAGGCCACTCAGAAGCACGCTTAGAAGGTGAGGCTGTCTTTCCTCCTGCCCCTGTGAGACGCATGAGGACCCCTGCTTTTCATTCCCACCGGGAAACACCTACCCTCCAAGACTCTACCCCTAAGTGAACATGGAGCGGAGGAAGAGACTGAGGTCCCCAACATCCTTCCTCCCTGAATTTCTACCCTAGAGGATGTGTGGCACCAGGCCATTTCCTTAGTAGGACCCTTCAACTAGGAAAGTGACATAGGTCATTGAGCAAGGGCCCAGGGTGCTTGCCTTCCTGTAGCAGCTACTTACATTGTTTCTCATGGCCTCTTGGCTCCTACTGCCCTCCCCCTCCCCCCTCTTCCCCCTCTCCACTCCTGTGTCTGGGTGTGAGTCCATGGGTCAGTTTTATGCTAGGGAAAACACCTGCCAGGCAAGTTCCACATGGAAATCAGAGGCCAACTTGACACACACTGCCTTTCCATTGCTTCTTCCATGAGACTTTGCCTAAATACCCCAGATTCAAGAACACCTTGCCCCCTTGCCCGACGGTAGACACAATCCTGCAGGCGTACCTGGGTTTTCCTGAGTGAGGGGAAACCGTGCCAGCTGATAAATGGTTGTCAGTAGAAGAAAAAGGAAGAAGAACCAGGAGGGGAGGGAAGGATGGAGGAAGGAGTAAAGGAGGAAGACTTCCTAACATCAGCCACACAGGCTCTTTGGAAGATCTAAAATGGAAAAATGGAAGGCTCAAGGCCAGGAGATTTCACCCCCTTCCCCAAAGCTGTGAGCTGGGCAGGCTTCTGCAGGCCTGGAAGGTTCAGGAGGGAACTTGAGTAACTTGAGTGGTTGGGGTGAGGCCTGGGTGAGGTTATGGTAAGGAGACTGGGGAATGGAGGGATGGGAGCTGGGGGCCAGTGTGTGACTAGGGGGAATAGAGGGGGCCCACAGGTGGGACTAGGTACAGGACAGGTGAAAAGGAGGCTGAGAAGGTTGTGAGATGGCAGAGGGCAGGAAAAGATGGCCAGCTGTTCATGATGGAATAAGGTGTAAGTGGGGGTAGGGGTCGGGAAGGGGTAGCGGTGAGGTTGGCTAACACAGAAAATGGCACGACATGAGATGGAGACTATGATTTCACCATACCGTGAGAGACATACAAATATCATTCTCGTTTTACACATGAAGAAACTGAGGCATAGGAAAGTTAGTCAGCTTGTCTGAGTTTTCTTCATTAGAAAGTGGCTGAGTCTAGGCACAACTCCCAGGAGTTACTCTGCTGCTTGGCCACACAGGAGACACTGGGACCCAAGGGCCAACATTTGAATCTAGGTCTTTGAGGCACCAAGGCTATGCTCCTACTCTGTGGGGGTCCCATGAACATAGGTGGTGGGTGAAGGCCCTGCTCTGCATTGATGGCCATAAGATTTGCTGCAATCTGCACCCAGGCAGGCCTTTGGCATCCAGGACTCACCATGAAATAATAGAGCTGTGAGGAGCGGGCCATGAACTCAGGTCGACACACAGCCACACAGATCTCCACAAAGCCTGCATGCTGGCTGGGCTTGGCCTCTCCCATCTCACACACGATCCTATAGGAGCAAAGGAGAGACTTCATGAGCCACAGGACCATGGTCTAGGTCCACAGCGAGCCCAGAGAGGTAAGCTGACCTGCATGAGCTCAACAAGTGATCCAGAACTCGGATCTGACCTTAGGTCCTCAAGTCTCTTCTTGGGAGCCTGCTCCCAGCATCTGGGCTGCCTCAGTGATGTATGTCTCCTCTCAGCCATTCCAAGTCCTATGCCAGGAGAAGAGATGCTTCCACTAGTGCAGAGGTGTGTGTGTGTGTGTGTGTGTGTGTGTGTGTGTGTGTGTATGTATGTTCTCCATCTCACAAATGAAGAAACAGACACAGAAAAGCTAGGTAACTTACCCACATATTTATATGTTTAACATCATGGAATCAAATCTATGGAATCAACCAACCATAGACCAAAAATATTGTAAAGCAGATTTTATCCATATTGAATATGTGCAGGCTACCCTTTTTCTTTTGAAAAATTATGTTTTATTTTTATTTTCTATGCGTGAGTATATGTCTGCATGTCTGTCTGTGCACCACGTGCATGCCTGGCTCCCATGGAGGTGAGACAAGGGCATGAGATCTCCTGGAACTGGAGTTATAGATGGTTTTAAGCTACCAGATCAGTGCCGGGAACCAATTTGGGTCCTCTGCAAGAGCAGCCAGTGATCCTAATCACTGAGCGATCTCTCCAGTGCCCAGACTTATTTTTTCTTATGATTCTCTGGACAAAACAATAGAATGTCTATTCATCTAACACTTCTGTTGACTTAGGTACAAGTAATGGAGAGAGGATTTAAAGCATGGAATAGGATGCTCACAGGTTGTCCGCAAGGACTATACTATTTTACAGAAGTCACCTGAGCATCATATATTTGGGTATCTTCAGAAGATCTTAGAACCAATTCCCCATGGATACTGAGAAGATATCATTTACACACAAGCACACTCATACTTAAACCTGTGCACATATTCTATATACATGTACACAAACATGAATATTATCGACACACATTTATGATTATGTGCAAGTTTATAAAAGATAAATGTAAATATAGCATAGCACTGTTCGAAATACCAGTTTGTACTTAGCAACATTTCATGTGTTTTCATCGAGTCTCTACATATATCTACTTCATTCTTCCTAACAGTTTTGTAATATTATATACATGTTTAAACTACCATTTTTGTAGTGATCTTCCTATTGATGGGCATATAAATATTCTGATCTTTCTCCTGCTTCAAAACCAAACAAAACAGCCAAAAAGGCAACATGCACATACCTAAATATCATGTGTTTATTAGAATAGACTTCTCAGGAAGGAATGTACTGGCAAAATAGTTTATTTACTTAACATTGATAGGACACAATAATGTTCCTCCAAAGCTGTACCAATTTGCATTTGTATTAATGGTCCACTACTTTAGCTAAGACTAGGTAGTCACAAGTCTTTGAAAGTTTTTCCAGTCTACTACAGAAAAGATCTCGTTTAAGTCCAGTGATTGTTACAGAGGATACATATGTTCATGTGTCTTTTCTTTCCTTTTTTTTTTACACTGCCTTCCTTTAACTTCTCTGTTAAAGACCTCTCTCTATCATGCTGACCAATTGTCCTTGGGTGAAGCCTTCTTAACTAGGCATATTAACTTTCGTTTGTTGTAAATACTGCAGTTCTTTTCTTCCTGGTTGTCAACTTGTTAGCTGTCCTTCAACTTGATTTTCAGTGTATCTGCCACACCAGCATTCAAAAGCATCTATTGCGGCTAAATCTACTGATCTTTTCCTTTCTTATTTCTACATTGTAAGTCCTGTGGAGTTTGTTTGGCTAGTTGATTTTGGTGCAGTTTTATCCTTTGTAGTGCTGGGGATCAAACCAGGGCCTGGTACATGTCACATGAGCACCCTGTCACCGAGCCACATTCCCAACCCTGTAGTTCTATGTCTTCTGTTTCTTAAACTGAAGTGCTGAGGAAAGGTCCTGTTCGTCTCTCTCTCTCTCTCTCTCTCTCTCTCTCTCTCTCTCTCTCTCTCTCTCTCTCTCTCTCTCTCTGTGTGTGTTTCTGTATAGACACCATAATAAACTCATGTTTGGTGTGAGGAAAAGACAGATGGACTCTGGCTTTTCTTTCACAAATTTAATTAGAAGCCGTATTCTTCTTGGTCCCCTGTGTATGTGCATGTATGTGCATGTATGATACCTTGACTCTGTGCCTGTCTGTGATTCTGAGGTGTTGGATGAATTACAATGCCTTGACTTACAAGATTCCAGCTTTATAATGGTATGAAAGTGACATGTAAGTCTGTCTACAATTTTGTACTTTGAATTTTATCTTTTCTTGAGCTAGCCACATGTTCTATGATACTCTCTGTGATGCTGGCCAGTGGCAGAAAGCTTCAGGTCCCCGTGAGCCAGGAACCACAAGAAGTAACAATGTTGGTAGCTGGTTAAGAATCTATAACACAGTTTCATCTCGTGTTGTTTCAAGTTAGGAAGGGTTTATCTAGACATAATACCAAGGGCTGGAAATGCATCTCAGTGATAGAACACTTGTCCAGCATACAGAGGGTTCTGGATTCAGTCCCCATCATGTCCAAAAGAGATAAGGTTGTGGAACATCTGTACAATAACTTTTTGAACTGATGAATTCCCTACATTTAGACATATCATTGTTTCTGAGTTGTTTCTATTAGAAACAAAGCTGAGATAAGCATTGTTAAATATGAATTTTTGCAAGTCTGGTTGTTTAGAGAATTTCTAGAAGCCTATTAGCTAGACTTAAAGACTGTGTGTGTGGGTGGGGAGGTGGAGTGTGATATTGGGGATTGAACCTGGGGTCAAGTGTTCTACCACTGAGCTACATCTCAGCTTCCTTTTCCTTTTTCTTTCTTGATTTTGAGACAGTCTCACTAAGCTGCCTAGGCTAACCTTAAACTCACTTTAGCCCAGGCAGGACTTGAGCATGAGACTCTCAAGTAGCTGGAGTTACATGCCTGTCCTTAAAGTGCCAGCTAAACCTTTTTTTCTGTTTTTCTTTTCAGAGAGGGAGGGAGAGAGCACACTGTATGATTGTATGTGTATGATATATGTGTGTGATGCATGCAAATGAGTGTTTGGGTGGATATGCAAGGCCAGGGCAGGGCAATGTGGGTTTCACCCTATTACTCTCACCTTATTGCCTTGACAGGGTCCATCCCTGAGCCAGAAGCTGACCCTTTCAGCTGGGTGAGCTCCCAGGAGCTGTCCGTCTCTATCCCTCAGTGCTGGTGTGACAGGCACATGCAGCCATGTGGAGCTTCCAGCTAAGACTTTTCAAATCCATGTGTCCAAATATGTTCCTGAAAGTTTCTCCCAGGCTTCCTCCCACCACAAGGAAATGAGCCAGTTGTATCGGGTGCTTATTTTTATATTCATTTTTGTTTTTTATTGAGATAGCATCTCATGTAGCCCAGGCTAGCCTCAAACTCACTATGCAGTTGAGGAGGACTGATCTTGAACTTCTGACCTTCCTGTCTTTACCCATCTAATCCTGGGATTACATCTGGTTTATGCAGTGCTGGGGATTCAACTCCGGGCTTCCTGTGAGCTAGACAAGCACTCTACCCACTGAGCTCCGTCTCTGGCCTCTGGAGCATTAACTTTTTAAAAATGTTCTCCATTGCCGTCATTTACATTTCATTTTTCATAGGAGTTCTTGGTTCTTTGTGCATCTCGTGAATTATACATGCATGCTCTTTGCTCATTTTGTGATAACTGCCTTTTATTTATAAAGCCTCTTTATCGGTTAAGAAAAAGGTATCTATTAACTGTGATGGGTATAACCATATCCCCAGCTTTTCTTTCACTTTTGAATTTTTCTTACAGTGATTTCTGGTGTATAAGTTTTTGAGTTTTATATACTCAAACCCCTAATCTTTTCTTTATGTTTTACTTTCCAACTCATGCTTGAAACATCTTCCCCTTCATGAAATCAAATGAATTTGCACCTGCATTTTCTTCTAATCTTTCAGTTTCATTTTTGTACCCCTAACTCTTTAATCTACACGGAATTTATTTGGGTGTATAATGTGAACTAAGGATCTGATATTATTATTCTCCTGGCATTACCCGGCACCGTTTACTGAAGGATCTTGCCTTTCCTTGTTGATTTGAACTGTCACCTTCATCACACACTAAATTCCTGCATGTCGGGATTCTTGCCCTGAGCATTCTATATCACTCCACGGATCTAACTGATACCGCAGCACTTTAATCATCTGGCTTTATAATAACACTGTTGAGGCCTGGTCCATGGTTGGGGGATGTTAAGCTTCCCCCACATCATGCTGTATCAGCAGCAATTGGCTTTGCTTTGATTTCAGAAAATTGTAGGAGCCCCAGATAGATGTTTGGGTCACTAAGTGATGTTAGATGAGGGGGATGATTCCAAGCTACAGTGGGATCTTCTGCATTCTACCCACTACAAGTGCCCTGGGGATGCCCTGATGGGAGTCAGGAGGAATGGCACAGGCAGCATCTCTGTGCTTCTCAATCATTCAGTCCAGCAAGCAGAAGGGCAGGGTACTGCCAGGCCTAAGGGATGGCCTGCCAGCAGCCCACATCTAATGCTCATAGGACCATTGATAAGGTTATAGTCTGGGTGAGACAGGATAGAATACAGACTCCACTGTGCTGGCAAATACATTCCATAGTTGGGTTTGCTGGACTGGAAAGCAGTGTTTACTTATTTACAAGACAATGCACGGCTCACTGGATCTCCTCCACTAGGTGGGTTAAGGGTCAAGGTCATCTGTTGAATGACCCTTTTGCGCATGGTTTGCAAAGAGAAAAATTAGCCAAAGAACCCAGAGGCCTGAGAATAGTATGAAATTTCATTTTCAGCCTCCACGGAGGATAGCCCAGGGCTAGCTTATCTGTGGGGAAGCTCATGGGGAGTTAGAGGCAATACAGGGAATTGAATTCACACTCCCTGGCAGACTTTAATTTTGCTCTTTCTCATCTCTTCCTCTCCTACCCCAAGTAGTCAGCAGTCACCTTCTTCCTCCCCGCCCCATTTTTCTATCCTTGTCTCTAGCTCCCTAGCATGGCATCTCAGTAGTACAGAAGGCAGAAAGCTGAGGGTGACCCTGTAGACACCCTAAAATGTTAGTTGCATTCTACCCGCTTCCCCAACTGGGCTCTGAGTTTACCATTAACCAGCCAGTTCTTAATCTGCAAGTCCCAACTTTGAAACATTTGAGCCTTGATATGGCACCATCAGTGGAAAATTTTATACCAGGAAACTTTCTTTGGTGATTATTTAAAATACTATATAAAGTCATCTTCGGGCTATGTGTATAAGTTGTATATAACACACAAATGAATTTTGTGTTAGATTGAGGGCCCATCCCCAGGATATCTCACTATGTATATGCAAACATTCTAAAGTCTGAAGAATAAAAAAAATTCCCACTCCACAATACTTCTAGTTCCAAGCATAGTGGATAAGGGACATCTCAAGCCTGTGCTGCCATGTCTGCCCGCCCCCCTTAGCTGCCCCATATCTCAGGTGGCTCTCACTTACTGTTCTGCCGGGATGTAGCCATCCACCAATGGGCTGCATTCCACACCAGCCACCTTGACATGTGAAGCAATGTCCCGGAATTCCAGACCCAGGTTCTCCCCTCGGATGGTGACCTTGGTGCCCCCTTCCCGAGGGCCTGTCACTGGAATGATCTGCAGAGAGGAACAGAGGTGATCCTTCAGGCCTCAAGAAGCATCACCACCTACTTGCTGAAGAGGCCAGAGTGGGTGTGGCCCTTTATGCTTTTGGGCACAGTTCCTTAAGCATGTCCAGGAGGTGTGTGGCTATCAATGGGTGGTATCCTTGGGCAAAGAGGTCTGTGTTTCTCTGTGCCCTGAGGGACACGTTCAGAGCTCCTGGTCTATCTTCCCATCTCATAGAGGAAGAGAATATGACTGCAGTGTTGCCACATACTCCAGAGAAAATCAGGATAGACTTGTGGCATACAATACAACCCTCTTAACCACCCAGAACCACCTGTATCTAGGACCACCCCACCCACTTCCAACATCAAATGTCCAGTCTCCGTAGTCGCCGGTTGTTTCTCTTCACTGAAAGGCCAAGGCACTTGTCATGCTACTTTCATGACAATCGCTATTCAGGTTGAGTTCCCCATTCTCCCACCCAGCCCCTCTCTTGACCTTAAGTCTCCAAGAGCAAGATGTGTCTCTAGTTCCCCCTGCCTGCCTTTCTTGTCAATGGTAGCATGCTGTTACAGCCAAGCCAACTCACTAATCTCTCTTCAGAGCATCTGGCATACCATTTACCTTCCCTGTTGGCTTGGCTTGTCATGAACAAGGTTTCAATTTAGATATTTACCCTGGTACACTGGTCCAAGGGACTGTCCTTCCCTCCAGAGATGTCACCGTAGATGTTAGAACTCATAATTAGAATGTAGAGACTTGTCAACCAGGACCTGGCTTGCTTTGAGGTAGGGGCCATGGACAGTGAATGTCATCTAATTGTTACTTCCCACAATAAAACTGTTCCTGGTTCTCAGAGCACCTGCACCTGAAGTGACGTATCTGAGGAAGAATCTGAATGGTAAGAGTCTTTAGTTCTTTCCTGAATGTTCCACTACCCCATTCCCTAAGGGTTACATATAGAGCCCTGTCCTGGATGGCTGGTAAAGTTGGAGGAACCAAAGGCACTGGACTGGGTTGCTCTAGTGGCAGCTTTTCTGGAGGGAGACTGTTCACTAACCGAAGCTTAACAACTTCCTTCTTATTACATATCCCTTTGTAGACACACATGTTTGTGAGTAAGCATGCTGTGGCGTAGGAATTTATATGAGCACATTCCCATCATAGTAGAAAACAGCTGCACCTGGAGAAATGGGCCCATTTCTGCTGTGTGAGGTGCGCAGATGTGTGGAAGGTAAGCAGAGAGTGCTTAGGTACTCCCCCAAGGCTCGCCCAGATGGTGGGTTCCCAGTGCACTTGGTGGGGGAGGGGCACTACATGAAGTTCCAGCCCTGGCTTGTCATCCTGTAAGAGGGGTTTTTATCTTTGGATCAGTCCATGGTCCCCTGGAGGGCTGATGCCAGGTTGGAGTCAGTAAGCAGCCCCCACCCTAGGGAGATTTGTTTAATTTGTCACCTCTTTCCAGTGATTTTCCTGGATTCAAGCCAAGAGAAAGCAAATCCAGCTGATAGGTTTCAACGTACTGTGAGTCACCATGTGCCACAGCCCCGGGGATAGCTTAGCTGTTAACAGCATGAGGGTAGTGGTTTCACAGAAGTGCAGGACTGTGGAAGGACTGGGAAGGAGAGATAGGGATGTAGGAAAGCGGGCCAAAGGACATTTACCTGCTCCCACCCAGCCCTTCATCCTGGAAGTCCCCACAGAGAACAGAGTGAAGTAGGGGCTCAGAAGAAGTCCCGGTTTTGATATTACCATCACCGGGAATGCTGAAGGTGAAGGGTCTCAGGTGAGGGATGCATTCTGACGGCCACTCTGAGGTGACTGAGGGGGTTCCCTCATAACAGCCAACACTGTTTCTGCTCAGACCCACCCCAGTGGCACAGTCTGTAAGGAGTAAATGTCCTGTCACTGTGTGAAGGAGAACATAAATCCAGGACTTGGGGGATTTGGGAGGCAACACTGTTTTCTCTATACTCCGGTTATTGTAGCTGACACTACTCTCTACCACGGAGAGGAAGAGAAGAACCCTGTCCTTCATAGGTGGGGTCCTAACTATGCCCCTCCCTCCAGTTCACAGGTGGAGGGCCTAACTATGCCCCTCCCTCCAATTCATAGGCAGAGGTCCTAACTAATCTCATGACTTAGCTACGTTTCTTGTTGCCATGACCAAATACCTGAGAGAAGCAACTTAAGGGGGAAAATGATTTATTTTGGCTCACGGTTATGGGGGTTAGATCTATCATGGTGGAGAAGGCATCGCAGGGGTCTTGGTCCCTGGTGGCAGGAGCATGTGGCAGCTGCTAGTTGTATGGTATTACCCATGAAGCAGAGAATTCAGAAGGAAGTTGTGCTCTAATGCTTATATTCCAGGGACCTATGTCCCCCAGCTTGGTTCCACCTCCTAAAAGGTCTATAATCTCCTAAAACATAACTACCACCTGGGGACCAAGTGTCCAAACACATGAGCCTGTGAAAGACATTTCATATTCAAACCACGATATTCCAGTACCTCAAATGTGACTTTAGGTAGTGATAAGTCTTTACAGAGACCATTAAGCACAAAGGAGGCCATTAGTATGGGTTTTAACCCAGTGTGAGCATGGTGCTATAAAAAAAACAAAAAAACAGCCAGGCACCTGGAGACAAGAGAGGGACATGGGGGAGCACAATTGACATCTAACCAGTTCCTCCTTTGGAAGCAACCAATCCTGCCAACGCCTTGATCTTGGACACCTACCTCCAGGATAGTGATACTGCAAGCTACATGGTTTATGATGCTTGGTTACAAAACCTCAGGAGCCCAATGTAACAGGGCTTCCATGCTGACTAACCAGGGCTGTGAAGGGAATGTGCAGACTCCAGAGCACTTCACACATACGTAGTCTAGGACTTCGGTCATTGCTCAATATGGAATTCAGGGAACATTAGCAAAACTGAGCAAAGCTGGGTGTGTCCTCCTGATGGACAGATGCAGATACAGCTACTCACTTCCTTCTCTTTTCCCTCTTCCCCATCTACCTCATTACTATAATCAGCATCCTCCATGGCAGAGAGGTACTAAACACCTACTGTGTGCTAGGCCCTGTTCCTGAGGTGATGGGAGGATTATATTAGATGTGATCCTAATGTTGGAGAATAGTCAAAAGGAGACATGCATTTCTCTTCCTATTTAAGAAGAGAGGAAGGATCTCAAGCCTGGTGGAAGAAGACCTTAGGCGGACACCCGTGTCAGAAGTATGGAATGGGGACAGGAGACAGAACTGCCCATATAAACCCCAGGGGCTGCTGTTCTCTGGTTAGGCACCTTTGGTAGTGATTTTAATGGTGCTGAACAAGATGGAGGAGGCTGATGAGCTTCCCAAGAGTGCTACAGAAGCTGAGGAAGTGTATGAGGAAGCCAAGGAAGCTGACGGCATGCCTCCAAGCCAATCCCTGAGCTCCGCTGTGGGACAGCAGGTGCTTATACTCACTGCATAGGTGAGGCATGCTGATACAGCCCTGCACAGACCCAGCCCTGTCCCTACTAGCTGAGTACTTTGCTCTGCCCTGTTCCTTCCTATTCTGCACAGTTAGACTCCTGAACTGCATCCAGACATGTTTCCGATTCTACAGTTTAGGTCTTATTGGGGCAAGTTCTGAAGTCTCTCTGCTGTGGTTTCTCACTGCTCAACAGAGCTGGGCTCTGGCCCCTGGACCCAGTGCAACTGTCACTATTGGCCAACTTCTAGCAAGGCTGCTGTTGATGAAGCTTCACAGCCTTGTCACTGAGGTGTCTGGACTCAGAGGGAGGGGGCATTAAACTCCAATAGGGCAGCGGAGCCCCTTTCTGTCCCCTGGGTGAGGGAAAGGTCTCTGAACCAAGCCTAAGCTTCCATAGAATCTATGAAGGAAAATGGGGATATGCCTGACCAGTCAGCGCACCCAAGTCTACCCATTGAACAGGGGATGACCACAGCCAGGCATTGTCTTGAGAGCCTTGGTCCCTGGCAGGCTATAGCATGGCTTGGCAGCCTGGCACGAGCTCCAGGCTAGGCAGTGGCTTACCTCTGTGATCCGAGGGTTGGTGCACTTGCTGTTGGCACCTGATAGTTCCAGCCACCGGCTCTCATGGGCAGGACAGTGCTGGCGCAGGGTGCACTGGCCTGGGCTCTGACACCAGCCACACTCAAAGTCTGGGTCGGCTTTGAGGCACAGCCCACAGCTCTCACGCATGGCCCCGCACTTGTAGAGGTAAACTGTGGAAGACAAGGACAAGAGGCACTTTGGGATGGGGAGAGGCTGAGCATGGCTACAGGGAAACTGTCCCACCACTGGGAGCCACCACAGTGCAGAGACCAGGGTTAAGAAATGACAGGGAAAAGTGGATGGAGAAGAGCTAGGCTGTGAAGGAAAGACTCAAAGCCCAAGGGAGACTGACAGGTGCTGGGAGGTAGGGATGAGGTGACCTCCCAAGAATGCAGTGCTGCCCTTCTCTCCTCTACCGCACTCCTGCTCCTCCCTGCCTTCTCTACCAGCCTTAGCCTCTCCACACCTTTATTCTGAGCTGGGTTGTCAATGTTGAAGTGTCCGTTCCACACGACTGTCAACTCCACTGGCAGGTTGTTGATCTCCATCCCTTCATAGGAATACTGCAGCCAGATTGAGGGGTCGAGGAAAGAACAAAAAACTGTTACAAAGATCTCTAGGAAGACCTGAGTGCTTACTTAGCCTGGGGCCCCATAGAACACACAGGATTAAGGACTAGCCAAGATTTATTATACTGTGCATATATATATACTTGAATACACGTATACATGTGTATGGTCAGATGGAGGAGCACAGGGGCCAGATGATGATGCAGAGAGTGGGGCTAAGCTTCAAGAGCGTACCTCTGCAGCAACATTACCTGTGCAGCAGTCTACCTGCACAGCAACATATCTGTGCAACAGTACATGTGTGGGGGCCAGTTCAAGAAACAGACCACACTAGTCAACGCAGAGACTCATAACCGGTCAACGTGCTGAAAATAAGTGATTGTGAATGCTTTGCCACAAATGGGACAGCATTATCAACTCCCATGTCCAGGGGAAACCCACCCAGGCCAGGGAATATAAGAGGAGGCAGAAAGAAGAGAGGAGCCAGAGGACGGGGAGGAGTGCTGTGAGACGATGCTGTGTTCTGGACAAGGTATGGCTTGTCACTCATGAACACACAGCAGCTTGGTCACCTGCACAAGACAGGCACAAAGTAAAGTCAGCCCAACTAGAGCACAGACGGGTGAGGAACTCACACGGCCTCACCAACTGAGCAACTGGCAGTTAATGGCTGGTGGCAAGGAATTGTTCTTTGGGGTATGGCTACTGGTAAGTTGTCCACACTCTAGCCAATCGCCCTATACCTTTGTAAATATGGATAGCACTAAAGGAGCTTGGTAGGTTATTGAAGAAGAAAAAAAAAGAAGAGGAGGAGGAAGAGATGTTTTATGAAGTAGATATGTGGGGCAAATTACGGGGAGAGTTGGAGGAGGAAACTGGGGCCAGGGTTGATATGATCATATTTCACTGTATACATGTATGGAATTCTCAAAAGAAAAACAGAGAAACAAATTGGATGAACTGCTCATCACAGTCAAGGGTCTCAAAGAGGAGCACAAGGAAGAGCTGTGTTCTGCCCTGAATTCCCAGGGAACTCTGGTCACTAGGCCCTGCCAGCCTGCACCTATACAGGGAACTAACTCTCTATTCCAGAAAGCATTCAGTGCAGGTCATCTCTTTTTCCAAGGGCCTGGAATGGGACCACTGACCACCAGGCAGAGGGAATGGGTAGCAATGACTAAGAGTGAAGACGTGATGCTCTGAGGGGACAATTGGCTGAGGAGAGGAAAGATCCCAGAGAAGCTTTAGGGAAAGGTGGGAAATCCTGCCCCTGGCCCCCCTTCCCCATTGCTGCCAAGACAAGCCTGGGAGTCTAAGTAAGATTCAAATGCATTCACAGCCCCAGTTTCCCACCATACTGTTACACTGCTATACTGAAATAATGGAGAATACCCCTGCACAGAGCTCATCATTCAGATCCTGTGCCTTCTCTCCTCAGGACCTACTATTCTGAGCAAGGGTGGGTCCTGAGTAAGAGACAGTGGTGAATGGAGGGAAGAGGATGCTGACTTAGAGATGCTGGATGCAGCAAGAAGGCTCCATGTGTGGCAGCAGGCATCCATGCTCTGCTTCTGACTGCAGTTACTGGTCAATGAAGAGAGAAGCAGTGAGCAGAGAGAACTCAGCTTGCTATGGACAGCAGTGCTAATCAGTACCTGGTGCTTTTCTTATTATACTGGCAGACTTGCCTGCCACAGGGGGTGGGACGGAAGAATGGAATTGTGACAGGTTTTCTGTACAGGAGGGGCTGAGGACTGGCATTTTGCTGAAAAGATTCATCCACTGGGCTTGGTTAGAAGCTCGACTTGCAAATTCGATGGGCTCTTTTCAGCCCAGAGCCAAGGTTTGGGGGGTCTGAACTGTTGTGGGTGTGGGTGGATATCAAGGGACATGGTGGAAACTATCCCTTCTCCCAGCTGACTGCAGTACTTCCAGGAGGGGAAAATAGCCACAGATAGTGGACAAGCTTGCCTGGAGAGAACCTCGGGGCTGGAATCCAAGCCTCTCTCACTGGGCAAGAATAGATCCGTTGCTTGTTGTAGAAGCTTCTAAAGTCCAAGGAATTACCTAGGCCTCTGAGTTACAGAATAAACCACATTGTGAGTGTGCTGGGGGTTCTAGATAATATAATGAGCAGCCTCTGTGATCAGGCTTCTTCAGGCTTTATCCTAACATTCAAACGTTTTAACTCCCTTCTTCCTAGCAGCATAAACCCAGCCCAGCTAGAAACACTGGACATTTTCCCCAGTAGGGAGATGCTCCCAGCACACTGTTCACCCTCTCACTCAGCAGATCTGTGACTGACACCTGCTGGGTACAGAGAGGAGAGCAAAGGCCCCTTTGCTCTGCAGAAATGACAGTAGAGGCTTTGGTTCAGTACAGCTGTGTCCCCCAAATCTGAGAAATAGACTGAAGAGCCCCAATAGATGTCTGAAACCTCAGATAGCATCTAACTCTATGCTGTTTTTATTTTGCACATGCATACCAATGATGTAGGCATAATTCAGGTACAATATGAGATTAACAATAAAAAGCACACTGGAGAGATGACTCAGCAGTTAAGAGCACTGGCTGCTCTTCCAGAGGTCCTGAGTTCAATTCCCAGCAACCACATGGTGACTCACAGCCATCTATCATGGGATTCAATGCCCTCCTCTTGCATGCAGGTATATATGCGGAGCACTCACACATAAAAATACAAATAAAAGTTTTTAAAATGTCTTTAAAAAAGTGGAACAATTACAACACACTGTAAAATTATGTGCATATTCCCATCTTTCCTTCTCTCTAACAAACTAGTAACTTTGTATCAGCCAACTTGATAATAACCAAGAGCTTACATAGTGGCCTATACCTTTAACCCAACAAGAAGTAGGAGGACCTCTGTGAACTTGAGGCCAGCCTGGTCTACATAGTGGGTTTCACTCCATCCAAGGCTACATGGTGAGACCTTGTCTCAATAAACTGAAAATGAAAAACAGCATGATAACCAAGTTGTCTATTAATTAACCAACAGTCAGGTAGCATGTATGGGATGGATACACTGGACAACGACACGGCTCATTTCTGCTCTGAAGGAAAAAAGAGGGGAGGGAGTCCCATGGAAAAAAATGTTTCTGGGATTTTCCATTTAATAATTTTTGATTGTGGTTGACCATGGGTTACTATGAAAAGTAAAATTATAGTTGAGGGAAGGCAACTTAATCACCTCCCAGGGACCAAGCTATGTCTTAGTCAGGTTGGGTGTTGTTTAACAGTTTCCTCTGAGATTGAAACACTGCATTCTGCAGGGAAGCTGTTTAAGCAGGGAGGTAATCAACTCAGAACAGCATCAGGAAGTCCCTGAAACTAACTAGATTTGTTGGGCCCTCCTCCCCGAGTAAGCAATAAAACTGCAAAGATTCTCTGACCAGCCAAGTTGTGAGGACTCTGAGACCAGAGCAGCTGCATGGAAGAAGCAGAGACCGACAGACCTGCCTGGAAGAGGTTTAGACCAACCTCATGCACCTGGAGAAGACACTCTCCAACCTGCTGAGCTAACTTCAGGCTGTGCAGTGGGCTCCAGGTTCCCAGCTTTTGTGAGCTGTTACGCATGCTGGAGTGAGCTTTGGTGATTCAGCCATCTTTGAGTCATTTCTGCTCCTTGGAGTAACCCTTCACCCATATTCCTGTGAGTAAAACCCAATAAAACGCATTGGTTCACCAAAATGGACTTTGGTGGTATCCATATGTTGGATATGTCATGGGCTCCCTATCTGGGGTAAGGTGACATGTATGTTGTCATCTCCCCAGGAAAAGTTTTGTCACACAATATTGGGTCACCCCAAGTTAATTCACTCCAGCCTTTGGGAGTGGACATTAGAATGAGGAGTGAGGTGCAAAACCCAGGGCTCTCCCCCAGAAGTGGCTAATTCCATTGTCTGGAGATGGGGGATATTTGGAAAGAGTTTTTCTGTGGTTCTGGTGTTGACCAAAAGTGAAGAACCCTGCCAGAAGTAGGGAGTCAGGGGCTGCCCAGAAGAGGGAGGAGAATGTAGGAGAAGGCACCCTCCCTTATGTGAGAGAAGGCAGTGGGGCTCTTGCCGGCCTCTTCCCTGGTCTCCTCCTCCCTCCTTCAGGCCTACAGACCCCAGAGGGTGAGATGACTAAGGGTAGATCACCTGGTCCACCCAAGGCTGAGCACCAACTGAACACCTAGCAGCACTGGACATCCACAGACTTGGACTTTGGGTGGGTGCTGGTGTGACTAAGTCTGGCTCGAAGCCCAGCTTCTGTCCCTCAAGCCTCCTCTAGCCAGGACCCAATGTGGGAACGGCAGGTGTTGACTGGAGTGGAGTTAGCTCATGTCAGTGAAATCTTCAGGCCCCTCTCAGGATGGTTCTGAAATGGCCCAGGAAGCAAGGCAAGGAATTCTTACTATGTATGTATGTGCTTGCCTGTGTGTGCAAACATGATTACATGTATGTATGTGTATGTGTCTGTCATCTGTCTGTTGTCTGTCTGTCTCTCTATCTGGTTTACACACACATGGGGGGGGGCACATGAACATGAGCAAATGACCAAGTTTTGGGTCCTTCATTTAGAAAGTGGGAATTAAGGAACAGCCCATACCTTTGATGATTACCACGCGGCCTGAAGATAATACATACAGAGCTCTGAGCACAGCGTCTGTCACCTGCTCTGAGCCCCCAAAGAGTGCTGTGTGTTTTAATCTGCGTGTATACACCTGGGGATGCTCTGTGAAACTCTATTTGTGCTGCCTGTGTTTATATTTATGGAGACTAATAATAACAGCCATGAACTGAGTGTTTATGTGCCAGACACTTGGTACATATGGAGCTGTATGCATGCGAGAATGCTTATGTGTTCTGATGCATGCACATGTCTGTGTGCCTTTTCCTTTTGAAGAAAATTGAAAAACAAAGGGCTATGATGATCAAATATGCTGGGCAGGGCCTTTTCTTTCTCTCTCCTATTTTCTGAGGTTGCAACTGGGAAATACTGTAGACATCATTAACCCAGGTGCCCCCACCAGCCCTGATCCTCTAGGGAAGTCAGCGTGTTCTGGAGATCCGCCCTCTCTAGATGACCTGCACATAGGACACAGTAGGAACTCTCTGTGTGTCCCTAAGCTGGGTAGCTTGGACCACTGGTTCCCATCCTCCTGCCCTCCCTCACTCTGCCCCACTTAGCATTTATATAGCTCTCTGTAATCAGTGGCAGTTTGTCTGAGCAAAGTTCAGGGCTGTGTAGGACACAGAACGCAGCGACAGGAGAGGTTACAGGCTCCTGAAGGCCAGGAGGTTAAGTGTCTCAATCAAGGCTGGCAGACCCCCACCCCCCTAGTCGATGACTTCTCCATCACCTTGGGGGTGTATGACCCCCAGCTTCCTCTCCTTGTAAGGCAGAGGAGACCTCTGCATGGAATTATTCCCGCCTCTGAGTACTCCCTTGTCCTGAGTACTGCGGCATTCTGCTACTTGAACAGACAAGCCAGAAAACCACAAGAGTACATCAGGACTTGGTTGGGGCACTGTGTCTATTTCCAGAGCTCTGGCCAGCTTCGTGCCCTCCTTCCCTCTTGGACCAGCACTGCGGTGGGCCGGTGCCCTTTGCAGCCCACTCATGCTCGTGACCGCCAGCCTGAGAGGAGGTGGCAGGCTCTATTATTAGCAGCACTTGACATTTTCCTGGAGCCTTGGTCTAAAGTAGGCCATGCATCCCCACAGCGGCTCCCTCGGTGGCTGCCTGCAACCGGCCCCTCTGCTCCTCCCACTGTCCCCAGGAGCTATAGCCACTGTCCCCAGGCCTGTCCCCAAATAGTGGTTCTGGAAGTGATCCCATCTGCCTACAGAGGCCAGAGGCGTGCCCACACGGGGCTTGTTTTTCATGTCCCCACATTTCTCTGCTCTTCTTGGATGTCTTTGTCACTAATTCTCTTTTGCCAACTGGACTCACTCCCTCTCCCCATCCCATGTTACTTAGGGATTTAGGGAAAGCAAACAATCCCTTCCACACACTCTGCCCAGAGGCCTATCTCAACTGGTCCCAGGGACAACACAAAGCAGGGAATAAAGTAGTTCCATGGCTGGGCTTTGCCCACCTTTTCAGTACAGGGTGTGCTGGTGAAACTGAATTCGAGTTCTGAATTTGCATCTTAGAAGCTGTGAGCCCAGGGGAAAGCCACTGCCCTTTCGGGGTTTCAGAGTCCCCCGTTAACAGAATCCAGGAGATACTTCCCAGCTCTGTGTCTGTACCATGGCACCCTGTTTCTAGAACTCTGGGAGTGGGGTTTGCCCAGATTAAGGAAGCTACATGACATCTTGGCTGAGATCCACATTACCTTGGGATCTACCTGACACCCCCTCTAGGCCTTCCAAAGAGAGGCTCCTGGGGGAAGTCAGGGCTGAGCCCCCCGAAGGGTGGGGCTCCAGGGAGTCTAGTTGGGACAGGGGACTCCTCTTGAATCTATTTTGAAGTTACCCCTCCTACTGTCTCAATGACAGTAGGTCACCCTTCTTACTGTCTCAGAGACTTAAAACTCTCCCATCACTAGGGTTGTTAAAGTGAAAAACGTCATGTGTGCAGAGGTGGCTGAGGTTCTGTGAGAGCCCTGAGGCCCCAGAACCTCACGCTAGTTAGAGCTAGGCCTGGCTGAGGACAGAGCAGTGGGAACCTCTGCAGCTCTTAAAGGGCCCACCCAGCACTGTCCTTGGTGGTTGGTCAGAGCCTTGGCTTCTGTATCCAGCCCGTCACAAGGCTCTACATCTTCCGGAAGTAGATCTAGAAGTGTCTGGGGCCTAGAGTTCAGAAGCGTAGAGGCCTGGACCTGCAGCAGAAGCATAGGTAACCATAGGACTTGAAGAGCTGGGTTTCCAGATGAGAGGGTCCCCATGGGAGCTTTGTCACTTTTGAGTCCTTAAACCCCAAACTGAGAAGCAGACAGACAAGACAGATACCCACCCTGTCTTGTCCTGTCCCCACTCACGCTGGCTGGGTGCTAGCACCTATGGAAGAGGGGACAACGCTGGCCTGACCCTTTGTGTCTCACCCTCATATCCAGAGAGTCTCCTGTGACTACCAGAGGCTCCCCAGGCAAGTGGCCCTTGGACTATGGTTGCTGACAATATGGCAATTGGACCTGCTGAGGATATGGCAATCCAGGATGCTTCCGATCCTCACAGAAGAGAATGAGCAGCTGGTCTAAACCAGCTTCTTGGAAGGTCAGTTAGTTTCCAGAGCACAGAGGAAGGTTTACAGGGGCTTTATGGGATCAGGTTAGGCTAAGCATGGGGTCTCAGGGGCATCTGATGACATTGTGACCTTCTCTCTGTTACCAAGGTCACAGACTCTCTTCTCACTCCAGATGTTTTCCTACACCCTGGGGCAGCTTCTCCCAGGAAGAGAAACTGTTTCTCCATGGTCTGAAATTTCACTGTATCTACAGAGTCCAGTGGGGGATCCTGGCTTCCCCTCTCCACTAGTACCTTCTTGTCTGGCGGGGAGAATTACTTGAGCCAAACCTTTGGGAATGATTGACTTGGCCTTGGGAGTTGTGAGAAAGCAGTTAATATCTCCTGTGCTTGCAGGTTTAGACTGCTGCAGAAATCTGAAAACGCCCAAGGACGAAGCAGGAGAGGAAGCTGTGGGGATAGATCAGCCCTGCATTGCCACACAGAGCAAGAATGTGGGCTTCTCTGAACCCCTTTTCTTCCTGGACTACTTCCTTCAGGAAAAGTAGGGCTGTTCCCGTGCAGTCCTTTGTGTGAGACTCTCTAGGCCCCGAGTTACACTCTCAAATACAGCCACTGTGTTTTCCTACTCAATAGCAGCTAGCTGAGGGACTGGGAGACAGCGTGACACAGGAGGGGACCCCAGAGCCAGCCAGCCCTGCTGTTCACCACTATGTGACCTTGAGGAAGTCAATCCCTCTGAGCAGGGGCAGGTCGCCTGGAAGCAAACGGGCTTCAGCTTCAGGGCCTGCACTTGCCCTCCGGTGCCCTGCGAAGACTTGCCCACAAATCTAATTTCATGCTTCTTACATTTTGACACTAAAGAAGGTACCCAAGTCACACCAATCTCAGCTCCCCAAGCCTGAATCTGCACGCTCCCAACCTGGACTGTTGTGTTCTTTTCCTCCCTCCCTCTCCTCCTCCTCCTCTTCTGCCTTGCTTTCATCTTTCTCTCTTTCTCTCTTTCTCTCTTCCTCCCTTTCTTTCTTTCTTTCTTTCTTTCTTTCTTTCTTTCTTTCTTTCTTTCTTTCTTTCTTTCTTTCTTTCTTTCTTTGAGACAGGGTCTCATTCCATTGCCCCCATTAGGCTCAGCCTTGTGGTGATCCTCCTGCACCAATCTCCCAAATGCTGGGACTACAGGCATAAGGCACCACACCTGCCTCCTGTTTTTTTGTACAGTGAAGAACCGTACGGCTTTTCATTGCTGGAAAGAGCATTGTAAGTCCATAAGTCCTTAAACCAGCATCAGCTGCTCTCAAGCATCTAGGTGAAGAGAAGGGAGCCCAGATGAGTGAAAGGGAGCGGGGCCCAGACTGGAAGGCAACATGAGAAGAAAAGGAATAAGCTAGGAGGAAAGGGGCACATAGTCAGGAACACTATCTTCCTTAGGGATCCAGTGGGCAGTTGTTGGCAGCCTGGAGGCTGCTGACCCCCATCGGCAGAACTTGACCTTAACGATGGAGATTGGCAACACTGGGCAGGGGCCAGCTGATCCAAGCCAACTCCACCCCATCAGTGATGCTAGATGGTGACACTGCACCTGTACCTTGTATGACACAGCTTTTGTGTAGGTTTAAAGGCAATGGCAGGCTTCTGTGGGCTCAAGTACAACACTCAGGTCAGGCTGGGTAAGAAGGAAGGGCCTAAGTCTTCTGGAGTGGCTTTTGAGGAGGAAGTTCAGCTTTCTGTAGTTACATCTGCCCATAGACAGGGCTCCGGGGCCCAGCAGAATGCCTTGTGCAGGTGACCCTTATCACACCATGGCTATAATCAGAGTCCACAGCTGGTGGACTTTCCGGTGGTCCTAGAGCCCATTGTACCATGGGTTCAGGGGCTAGATTGGATAAACAGAACAGGAGTAGGAGGAGAGGATTCAGGTGGGTAGGGAGCCCAGGGATCTACTGGGTAGCAAACCCAGCAGGACTGAGCTGATGGGACCCATTGAGGCCCATAATAACAGGACCAGCAGGGTGACTCACAGAGGTGTTTTGACATTGTACACTGGAGCTGTTGAAGCGCAGAGCAGGAACCCTCTGCTCGGTGCCCTGGATGTTCAAGATGCACTCGTAGCCTCGTTGTCCCGACTGAGGCTGTGGGAGGTTCTTAGCCTTCAGAGTGATGGGTTTGATCACCTCGACTGGTACCAGGATCTTGTCCACTCGCAGCAGCTGGGGGCAGTCCTGGGGACAAGAGGGCTTGGCTCAGCGTGGGCATGTGGGAAACCAAACGGACAGTGACCTCTACAAACATTACATAGATGTCGGTCTTTGTTATGGCCCATCCCTAGAGGACCACATGCCCACCCTCAGACAGTAGGGAAGGAGTAAAAATAAGAAGTCTCAACTCTTAGTTCACCATCTTGAGGCCACTCCTCCCGGAGTCTATCCTTGGCCTCTTCAGGTTAATTTTAATACCAATTTATACCCCAGATCTCTAGCAGGCCCACAGTCCCCTCCCAATTCCTTTCCTTCCTTGGCAGAGATTGACCCTGCTGCCTGGGCATCCTGCTCCTCTGGGGACTGACGGCATCTTTGCCTGCCAAGTTCCAGGCAGCCAGGAGTTAGGACAGATGGCCCATATGGGAAGCTACACATGGAGGCAACAGCCTGGGCCTCGGCTCTGCCCATAGAACTCAAATCTGGACCACAGCTGGGGAAGCCGAGAGGGCCTCCAGTACGTGGGCTGAGGTGGCATTTGGCAGTATTCTGGAATAGTGTTCCTTCGGCGGACTATTCAGTCTGAAAGCATCTGACTAAGCGGTGAAGATGGTCGGCACTGAGGAAATGCCCCTCAGAGCAGATACACAGCGCTTCTCTTGGATGCCTGCAGCAGCACTGTTAACCACCCAACCACAGAGGGTCTTTGCCCTGGAGGAAACGAATCCCTGGGCCCCTTTCTTTTGAAAACAATCAGCACTAACTTGAGAGGCCAGAATGGGCTTCGAGAATAATGGAGTCAGGAGAAGATGGGATAGGCACTCTTGGCCTTGTGCCAGGAAGGTCTATCATCCCCCAGGTTCTGCCCTCTCTCTGGGCACTGTCAGACCAGATGACCTTTGAGCAAGTTGACTATAGAAAGCACGGCACCCATGTCCTTCCTGAAGATGTTCAGACACAGGCTCACTGCTGAGTCTCAGCTGAGGCTGCTGTTCCTCTCCACAGCACTGGTCTTCATGGGGTAATACTGATTAAAGAAACCATGAAGGGAGCATACTAGAGGGGTCTAATAGGTAACTGGAGGCTGTCTTCCAAAGGAAAGGAGCCACTGGTTCCCTGTCACTGGGAGCTGCACTAGGAAAACAGTAAGCTTCTGACCCACCCTAGCACACCCCTACCCTGAGCTTCAACATCCCTTTGTCCATTCGGTAGGACTTGGATATCTTGTCCATTTGAGAACAGCTCAAAGGGGAGCAGCGCATGCAGTAATTCCATCTCTTAGGTATTCCCAAATCTCTGAAAATAGACACTTAAACAGATCCTTGTAGGCCACATTCACACTTGCATCCATCACAACAGCTGAGAGGCAGAAACACCCTAAGTGTCCATGGATGAAAGAAAGAATTAAAAAAAAGATATGTCATACCCACACAATGGAAAAGTATACAGCCTTAAGTAGGGTGAAAATTCTGACCCACATAACAGCACGGCTAAACCCTGAGGACACTGTGCTAAGTGAAATAGGCTGGCTCCACAGGGAAAAATCCTGCATGATTCCACGTGCACAGGGCAGCTAGAGTAGTCACATTCCAAGACAGAAAGGAGAATGGTGATGGACAAGTAAGGGGACATGGATGTTGCTCCATAGGGAGAGTTTCAGCTGCAGACTTGTGGGGATGGTTATACTCAGTGTATATGCACTGAGCTATACCCCCAAACCATGTTAGAATAGTGTTGTTTTCATTTATAAATTTTACAACCATTAACATCAACCAACCAGAAACTGAAAACATAGAGGAGTGGCGAGGTCTCAGGGTAGCAGGGGAGTAGCGGCAAGGACACAGCACAGCCTTGATCTTCCAATTACAGGACTTCTCAAGGTTTGGAAGAGGTGAATATCTGGGAACTATGAGGTACTCTCACAGAGAGTCCTGGTAGCTCCAGATCTGTGCAGGCCCTGCATTTATCTATCTGATCTCCCATTCTCTGACAAGATGTGACTGTGGTGTACATAGGCAAGGGGTATGATTCTGTGGAGAGGTTGATGCTTGGGCTGAAGAGGGAGGTGTGTGGGGCTGGGGGACTATGGACAGCAGTTCCATGAAGAATGGGGCGTCATGAGCCAGTCCTTGGGTACTACAGACCCACCTCAGCCTAAGGCTGGGACTGCCTTTCCTCCAAGGAGCTGGGCCTGTGACCACACTTGGTAAGAGAGCCAGGGAGTACTGGTACCTCTCACCTCCACATCTCCAGCAAATATTGCCACCCATGAGCAGGCCCAGGGAACCTGGAATTCTAGACTCCTCTGAACAACCTGACTGACCCCCTTCCTAAAGGAGAAACTGAGTCAGAGAGAGGCAAAAGAATAACTCAGTGTTAGCAGGTGGGTGGACAGCTGAAGAAGCCAACTGTTTGCATCACCACCCTTCCTCCTGTTTGTGGAAGAACAGGTTTGGTGAGCAGGACCCTCTCTGAATGGAATCTCTCAGTCAGTTGGAGGGGTGAGACCCAGTTGAGCTAGACTGGAGCCCTGCTCTGTCCAGGAAATGTCAAGAGCTAAAGCCTTTCTCACTTGTCCCCTGTAAGATTCTCACCAAAGCTTGTTAGGAGTGCTCTAATGAGTCCTGATTAGCAATGGCCCCATAAAGGCCTAGTTTGCATATAAAAAGGTTGGCAGTTCTGAGAGTAAGTTCATTAATAATAATTGGAGAGGCCCAGGGATGGGCTGGACACATCTTCCTCTAAGTAGTGCTGATGTTTGACCCCAGTGCCCCTGCTTAATTGAAATGTAAAATGGCAATTTTCCCCTAGGCAACAAGGCATGAAGAGGCCATCTCCACCATCCTGCCCCTCCTCCCACCCATCATCCCAGACTGACCTGCTGCCTGCTAAGATGCCAGGTGCAAAACCACCTACAGACTCAACTCTCAATGGGAAATGTCAGGGAAGGTGCCACAGTCCCCCAGGACTCTGGAGCCCTGTTTCCCCGCCCAGGGGCTGAGGAACTCTGACATCTTGGTCATGGACATTTGGGGTTCCTTAGCTAGAGAGATGCTGGGAATTAAGTTATGGAGTCCCTGTCTCCTTCTGCTGGTTTCAGAATCAAGAAGAGTGCACTTGTCATTGGCTGGCCTAAGTCCAGGGATGAGCAGTCTTCTTCCAAATGTATGTTCTGGAGACTCCATGAGTTAACATGTGCAAGGTGGCTGACTCAGAGAGAGTAAGCATCCAGCAAGTGTTTCCTCTTTCCTTGCCTCCCTCAGCTCCGGCTGGAGTTTGTCCCTCTTCTGTTCCCAGTTTCTACTGCCTGTTCACAGGGCCTATCCATCCAGCCCACTCCCGTCTCTCTTCCTTTTCCAGAATTAGAGCATCAGTTCTCGGCAGCATATCCCAGCCTTCTAGATTTCAAGTCTCTTGCTGGACCTGACTCATCTCAATACCTTCAAGTGCCTCAGGCATGGGAGAGACAGGTAGGAAGGAATGTCCTCTGTCCATGGCTCTCCTACTGAGAATCTCTCTCTCAGACTGTTCTGTTCTGGTAGGCAGGACCTTGGAACCTTGAAATGGGTTAGAATGGCATTGCTTTTTACCTAGCTTCTCTGGGGCTGTGGATTGTAGCCTGGTTATCCGTTGCCTTACTTCTAATATCCACTTATGAGTGGGTACATACCGTATTTTTCTTTCTGGCTCTGGGTTACCTCACTCAGGATGACTTTTTTAATTCCATCTATTTGCCTCATGTTCCTCCTTCTACAGGAGGTCCCAAGCCTCTAAAGAGATGGGTCCCTTGGAACCATGAGGTACCCACACAGGGAGTCTTAATGACTCTACCTCTGTGCCCCTGAATCTGGTTCCCTGAATCTATCTATCAGGAGAAGTAACATCCTTAAGTTACATTGTCACATGCTCAGAGACAGGAGACCCATTAGCCAACCACATGGCCAAACCCTCTCTTCATCCACAAAATGAAGATATGGTATGGACTAGATGATTTTTATGGTCCTAGACCATACTATAAAGACATACTATAAAATACATATTTGGGCTTTGTCCCTGGTTCCTGGCACAGAGCTTCTAAAACCCTTGGAGTTATGGTGATAGGACCTTCCTGTTGTTCTCAATAAGCCCATTTCAACCATATTTGAGTTTAAGCCAATGAAGAGCTCATCTGAGGATGCGGACTATTTGCTAGCCCACTGTGGGATGACAGGATCTTCCCAGATGCTGCAGGAGAGAGAGGAACTAAAAGTTGAATTCAGTAGCAGTGGCCAGGGTGGTAGTGGATGTTGGGAGAACCATTCAAGTACACCATTGCAGATTAAATAGAGTGCATTTCTGCTCCTCTGATCTTACAACTGTTCTCTGGAGTAAGCACGCTGCTGGTCGAAGAGGAGTTAATCAGTCCTGCCTGCATAAAGGGACTGCCATAGGAGCCCCACGTAAGGAGCTCAGGAGATGCTCACTGGTTACAGGCACGTGCTGCTCTTGCAGAGGACTGGAGTCTGGTTCCTAGCGCCCACATCAGGTAGCTCATAACCATATGTACCTCCAGCTTCAACAGATCTGATACCCTCTTCCTGCCTCCTCTGGTATTTGCATGAATGAACACAAGCACACACAGGCACACACACACACACACACACACACACACACACACACACACACACACAAAATAAATAAATAAATCTTAAAGAAAAGGAACCTTCCATGAAAGAGTTCCTGGAACTTCCTAGTTGGTGAACAGATGGCGGGGCCTGCGAGGGTGTACACATGAAGCAGGACCTTATTCCCACAGACCTTATTCCCCACAATTTTCACTAGCTCTTCATCTGCATCTTTTGTACAATCTTTTCTAATAAGCCAGGAAATGTAAATAAATGTTCCTCTGAGAGCTGTGACCCCTTGCAACAAAGTATCAAGTGTGAGGAAGGGGTTTAGGAAGCCCAAGTTATAGCCAGTTGGTCAGACACATAGGTGACCATGTCTTGCGATTTGTGACTGGCATCCTAAGTGGGGGTGAGCTT